ATATTTTTATTTTTTTTTTTTTTTGGTTGATACTAAATAAATATCTGCCGGCAATTTTTAATGGGGTTCCCTAATGTTAAAATTTTTTAAAAATAAAAATAAACTTAAAAAAAAAAAAAAAAAAAAAAAAAAAAAAAAAAAAAAAAAGAGGTTGAGTACAATATTCCTTCGGAAAGATGATGAAATGCTTTTTACAAGGTAGTCTCACCGCCAGCGACGCACGATCCTTATTGTATGGCTTTTACCTACCAGGTTGCCTCTTTTTTTGTTCTAGCGTCTGTGCGCCAACTTCTCACGCTTCTTTTCCCCTTTTTGAAGTATGTACATAGCTTACGGGGATACCAGGTTCTTCTCTACCTTCTTTCATAATAGCCTAGCATAGCGTATCGTTGAATTGTGATTTTTTTTTCTTATTAGGTTAGGTACTTTTAACCCGTATCCTGTTGCACTAATACCTTCTTATACCTACTGGTATTATCGCCGCCGTAATGGAGGTCAACATCGAGCCGTTCATTCATCTACCCCAGTACCGCGTGGTGATTTGTCAAGAATGCGGTTACGCGTGTGTAGGCGAGGAAATCGTCTCGCATTTTAAGCGACCAATTCATCAAGGCCTTTCCAAACAGCGTAAAAAGGAGATCTCAGACGCTATTCTAGCTATGCCGGATGTCTATCAAACGAAAGACGAGATCGAAACGCTTCCGATTCCGTTTCCGCCGCCTGAGACGCCGGCCATCCCGTATTTGCTACCGCCTCAAACTGACGGCCTCCGCTGTGGGGCATGCTCGTATATCGTCTGTACGAAAGGTAGGATGCAAGCCCATTGCATGAAAGCACACCAGTGGAAGAACGATCGGGGCCGGGGAAGACAGGCAAAAGGCGCAAGCTATGCGCCAGAGCCATGGACGACCGGTGTACGATGCCAACGTTTGTTCATGAGCGGGCCAGGTAACCGATATTTCGAGGTGGAAAGGCCGGTACGTGTGCTATGATTCTTTTTCTTTCCCTTACCCTGACTTGGCCTCTTACGGCTATCCAGTCTCGTCCCGCCGACGCGATGACCGCCTCGGAAGAAGGACCCGCCTCGGTCCCGGTTTCAACACCCGTCCCCGCTTTAACAGGCCCCTCAATTGACGCCGCCAGCTGGGAGATGGGTTACCTGAAAGGACTATACAGAAATATGTCCGTTCTCCAGCGGGCCGACGCTCGAGCCGACCTTGAGAATAGGCTGGCAGCCTTGTGCGCTGTGGAGAAGGAAGAGGAAGAGGAGCTAGCGCGCAGCGGCTATAATGAGGGAAGGCTAGGGCGACGAAGCCATCGAAAACGAGCAAGGGGCTGGCTCTATTAATACATAACGTGCTTAAATTTAGCTAACTAGTTTAATACATTTGTGTATCTATGGTGGTGAGTTGCCGATTGAATACAACTGACTGCCTAAGGTTCCCGCCAACGCAGTCACCGTAAAGAGGTACCTTTTGTATAGAAGTTCATAATACCTAAATGCAAATGGTTCTGTCTTATGGTTTAAATATCTTCAGTATACCCCTTAAAACGTCAAATCCCCAAAATATACCGACCCTTGGACTGTACTTAGTATTTCCCTGAGATACAATAAATTCTATAGGCCACCTCATTCCCTCCAGACGAGTATCCCACTAGCATATAAACCTGTGATTATTCCGACTTTCCTCTTGGAGTCGAATACTGCTGTAGAGCTAGTAGGATACTCGTCGCTAAAGTAAATATGCTCAACACCTCCTGACTCGGTCCACTTAGAGACCCCGGAAAATGCCTGGGCCGTTCTACAGTACTCCTGGAATGAGGGATCTGCAGCAGCCAGTATTTCAGGCGAGCTGCAATCGTGGCGGGAAAAGGCATACTTACTTAACGTCGGCGGATGGGGATGACCGGCAGCAAACAGGGTTCCATTTTCTGAGATTTGAATATTGTCAACCCAAAATGGGAACTTGACTTTGGATTTATAAGTAAGGGTGGGCGAAGTCGCGTTAATTGACTTTGGTTTCGTAATAGTGTAGAAATATACTGCCGTGCTAGTAGTTGAGGCTACGGCCACAGTAGTGTCGTTTACGATTTCGATACCGTTGGCGAAAGGGAGACGAGCAACGATATTAACCTTGGCAGGCGTAGCGGGATCCTCCAAAAGGGGTGATATGTCGACGTGTAAGACAGTAGCGAGAGGGAGACCTAGGAGGGTCTCTACCGTGGAAAAGAAGCGAGAATCTTCCGCGAGGAAGTGGTGGTCGTTCGTAACAAGAAATTCATGGCTGTTGAGGAGAGCTATAGAATTCGGGCTACGGAAAAGAGGATGTCGAATCGTTCGGAAATGCCTGGCCGTGAATGCATCAAGATCTAGCTTAAACAACTCGATGGTTCTACCCTCTTTACGATGGTTTGTGACAAAAAGAGTAGAATTTTCTTCGTCATAAGCTATACCTAGCGTATGAAAATCCGCACCAGGTTCGTATCCCAGAATTTCAAAACGAGTCAATGAATCAGTGTCGGAGGCGCCAGCATTGACATAGCTGTAGGCGTATAACTCGGCATTGGATATAGACCCCGGGATGAAGACGCCCTGTTGAAGCTGAGAATGTGTGGGCTAAATGAGTGGTTGCAAGCTTTCCCATATACGATCCACATTGGGATTGAGAAATATATTGTGCATAGGTAGGTAGTTAAATTGAATAACAAGACTTACCATTACTGTATTCCATACCTCCCGCCCAGAGTCACAAGCAACGATAGCGAGGCCTTTCGATTCTACAAGTAGGACATCTTCGCAGCTTTTAATGGTGTCCGAAAACTTTACCTCGGGCGACTTGAGGTTATTTATATTTAAAAACCGGCCCGGCGCATTGTTATACATTAACAATACCTTCTGTGCTAAGTCATACAGGCTTGGCGATAGCGCCGCTATGACTATAACCAACTGGGACAGGTTAGCCTTCTGGGAGGCCCTAATAGAGAATAGAGGCTCTACTTACAAGTGCTGTCTTAAAAGCCATCTTACCCTAGTGCACGGAAATATACAGTTGAGAGAGAATGGAACATGGAACATGGAGGGTTTGAGCTCGGGAGCGATGGAAAGCTAAATATGAAATTTATAGTGATGTGAAGGATTAGCTCTCATGCAAGAAAGAGGCAGGGCAATGCGTAAGCATACGCGAGTATGGAGACTAGCTTGGCAGCTTGGATTGGGTTATGATCCTGGGTCAGCGCTTAGTCTCCATGGTGATTGGGATCAGGAAATACTTACAGATCATGAAATCCTATGAATCCTTCACATGACTCCAAATTCGAATATGCGTCCTGGCCTGAGCCGATAAATAACGGACACCGACAGTTGGACAAAATCTAATGCCATCAAAAGGATTGCACTACTCCATTCATATGATGAGAAACGCGGAAAGGGGGAAAGATATAGTCAGTGTAACGGTAAAATAAACTACAGAGTCACAGCATGCGAGACGCATACACTAGACGTACTACGGTGACAAGGAGCTGTTTGCATATGGCGAAGCTTACTAGCAAATAACCGGTCAATTGGCTACTGATGTGTATTTTCCGATACCGTAGCATCAACTTTGTAATAGAGATGGATAAAGAGTTAACGATTGTTATCATAGACAAATAGCGAAGTTCTTGTGTTGCGCACACGCCTTTTAAACAGGGAAATATGATTAACGTGTACATCTTGAGTTAGGTACCTAAGATACTTAGTTACAAGGTAGCCACCTATGCTAACTTACGCTCTTTAAATTAAGATTGTTGATGTTTTCAAATAAAAACTGATTGAACCTGAATCAATAACTAGCTAGTTTATAGAAGTATGTAATCAATGAAGTCAATAGTTTAGTTAAACTTGACGCAAGGGATAATATAAATGTCTTATATGAGAGGTTGTAGGTGCATGTTACGTAATCATGTGGTGCAAAGAAATCACTGGCTTTCGGCTCTTTACTTAGGTAACGTTAGGTAACGTTAGGTAGGTACCTAATCATCATTGTTTTCTACCATTACCCATAATGTTCATTTTGAGACGCCGGGTAATTCATAACTGATTTCTTCACAATAACGAATATTGAGTTTGGCACAAGTGATATGTTGTGAAGCCTTGTAGCTGTTGTGGTTGATACAGGAGTCACGATGTTATCTGGAGTAGTAGTTATCCAACGTTCTAGGTTCCACTGAGGTGAAACCCAGAGCATCATCTTCAATACGTAACAACTTTCGGGTTTAGACTCGTGATATCGTGATATCTTAGTTCACATAAATTTATTAAATCCTAGGCGTAAGAGCAAAACTTAGGCTATTTGAGTCTTGACGAAACAATGGGGGAAAAGCTTATATTCATACTAGTCTGGAGAGGAGTATAGAAGTGTTTTCTGAGGCCACATCGGGCAATTTACTTTATGAGAGTAAAACACACAAGAATTCTTATCCTCTCAAGACCAGTGAGACATATAGCTCATGTCATTTTCTTTTTTCTTTTTCTCTATCATATCCACTATAGGTCACGATTAGTGTCAGCGTCTCGTTTTCTACTGTAATACGGCGATGACTAGCTAAGCATTCATAGGAAGGGTTCTCGAACTAAGAACGACCGCTCCCAAAGTATAAAATGAGAACAACATAGAAAAATTGGGGATGGCCTTACTAAAATTTATAACGTCTCGTAAACAATCTTCGATGCCGTTTTCGGTAATTTTACCTCCTGAATCCCCTAGGAGTCGTGCAGAATAAATCACGTTCCTGATCTGCCGGCCATTTAGCGGTTTAGTAGCCCATTTTCTCAATGTTGTCTCTTTCGAGTCAGATAACCAAATAGCCGCATTAGCATCATCATCCTGACTAAATATGCTTTTCCAGATCTGCAGGCGCGTTTCGTACTCTAGTTCCGGAAATGCCATGCCGAGATTAACACGGGATATGAAAGCTGGATCTATCATGTGGATCTGATTTGTGGTAAGGAATAGAATACCTTCGAAGTATTCGATCTTGCGTAGAAATACTAGTTATAAGAATAAAGATTAGTGCTTTGAAGAAGAAGAATATAGTTAATATATCCTCAGGACTAGGTACATACCCGCGACCCATGCCGAACTACGCATATTTTCAGGGGTCCTTTCCGACATGACGACCTCCGCTTCGTCGATTAGTAGAATGGCATCCCAGAAGTGTGCTTGCCGGAATATCTCTTCTATTGTGGATTCCCAACTGTCGTCGGCAACAAGCATTCCCAAGTTCACTCTATATAGTGGTCTTTGGTGTTCCTCGGAAAGACATTCGGCCAACATCGTCTTTCCAACTCCAGGAGGCCCGTGGAGTAGGAAGGTCAGCCCCTTCCCTTTCCCTCGGAAATTATTGGGGTTTTTGTCAATTTCTCTTGCTTGCTTGTAGTGGGCGTGAGCTCTGGCTAGGCGCTGGATGCGATCAATCGAGTCTGCGGCAAGCGTCGACTCAGGTTTGACCAAGCGCTTCCAGGCGCTCTGGATCCAGGTAGGAAACTCTAGCTTACGCATTGCAACATTATACCACTCATTATCGCTGAGGCTATATACGAGAACCTTTTCTGGACATAGGACCAGCGAATCGACCTCAGTCTCTCCATCAAGACACTTGATGCCGAACGGATCGATGTTGTGTTCCACAAACGTTATACACCGGTCGGGAAACTTCGTAGGATCGACAATGACTCTTCCGGCAATCTAGGTTTCGATATTAGCCATATTCCCCTAGGTATAGGAATTAAAAGGGCGTACTTCTCTACCAACGCCATCATCATTAGAACCCTCAATGAATGTCTCGCAGTACCCAACGTATTGCATAACTTTGGCTACAGGCTGACCACTTTCGTTTAATTGGGCATGTAGCTCGCACCATCGCTTCCCCGACTTGATCGATATTTCGATGAGCGATTCTTTACCAGGGTGGAATTGCAATGGATATACTTCCAGTTCTGTGATATTCTTTGTGCCTACGAATTTCTCGATCTCTTTGCGGTATAGACGGTTTTTGTAATTCTTGCCATCAGAGTCAATAGCTTCGCATTCCAGCTGTAGTTCGTCCGTATTATAGCGGATATCATCAAGACTGTCAATGGTAAACGTACGCACGCGAGCAACGGCCCACTCATCCCGGAGCTCACGAAAGACTACTAACTGATCTTTGCGGAACAGACCCCGTAGCCCGTCGTAGTCGATCTTTTGCTTCTTAATCAGTTCATCTAGGTGCTTCCCCGTCCGGATCAGGTGGGACTTCCGCTCGTACAGCTGACGCATAACTTCCAACTCGGCTTTCGTATCCTCATCTACGTCCGTCTTCTCCATTGCCATGAGCCTATTGCGGCAATGGAGGAGAGGATACGCACCGATGATTTCGAGACGATCGTCGAAGACCTTAACTTGACCTTCGTGGGCGGGCGGGCAGAGATCGGATAAGATGCCATGCAAGGCCGCTGATTTATACACCGTGAATATAAGATCCCCACGCAGTGTTGTATCGTAGCGGAAAGATTGCCTTCCCGAAGGTGAGTCTTCCGTCTCCAAGTCTGCCTTGCTATCGGATACCCATTGCGTTGTTAGGTCATCACCCGGCACCTCCTTTCGAAACTCAACAAACTTTCTCAAGAGATCGGTCTTGGTTTCTTCACTATCCTCAACTTGAGGACTATCCTGTTGTACAGCCGAATCCACCTCTTGCTTCGACTTATCACCTTCTTTCTCTGCGCCCGTCTCACCTTTTGGTCTCGACACCGAGTTTTCGTGAAATGCTTTTTCTAAAGTTTCAATCCTCTGTGTTAGGTCTGCGATGACAGAAAGCACATTGCCAAGCTCCTTTCGACTTGAATCCATCTTTTGCTGGACTGCATATATTGATTAGGCACAGCAAAATCCGCGTATCAATGTAACCACTTACCCAGACTCAACTAGTCCGGTGTACTGTATAAGTTGTGTTATCCAGAAGGACTATCAACCTATATCGGTAATTGGATGATATACCTAAGGTACCTATCTATCCCCTGGATCAGCCGAGCTATTAGTATAGGTGGTAGTTATTGTGGTTTGGTATCCAGTCAGGCTACTACAACCTTACAAAAGAAAGGAGAAGAAAAAGCGACAACGCTGGTGGCGCCGATACATCGTACTGCAGGACCTAAAGAGGAAATCCCGACATAATCTTAATCAAACTCCCATGCACCCTGACATGGAAATAATTGGCCAAGTTCTGAACCTATTGGTTAAACCTTCCGGCTCATCGAACTGAAAACAAAACCCCGCTTGTAGTGTCACGTCTTCAGTAATGGGGATCGCATTTTTCCCTCGATTTGTAAGTTGTGGGAAGCATAGCCTCGAGCTCTACGCCCATTGATGTTATAACCCAGCATTGGTAGTATCTACATATAAAAAAGATAAAATGAGTAGGCCATGGCTACGTGGTCTCTTATATCCGCACCGATCGAAGACTCTAGGATTTATAGAGAAAGGTGCAAAGGACCCCGAGGCGGAACGGCGTAAATGGTTTGATGATGTTGAGTTGGAGAGCAGTACGTCAGTATTACCCCAAGACCTAATAAACGATGTCGACCGTACTAAGACCACGTAGAGAATTATCATCACTAGGTTTATATGTGACTGATATTGAGATCAAAATGCCAGCCCCAGGAAGCGACATTGATCTGATAGCGCTGGTCAAGTGTGCGAACGAACCTCCCGAAAACCGCCATGACCAAGAGAAGAGCCTTAACATGCTTCGAGCTTACCTGGAGAAGGTTAAACAGAAACAGGAACACGAAAAGAAGGAGGCCGCCGAAAAAGAAAGCCAAGCTCAGGATCAATGGAGGAAGAAAGATCAAAAACGTGGACCTTTCCGCAAAAAGATCCATAGCATCCTCAAAGAAGCAACTCCCCTTATCAATAGCGCCTTTGATTTTGTGTTGAAGGTGCTTTATGGCGGCATGAAAGCTTTGGAAGCAACAGTATTTCTCGCTGCTGAGGCTACCTTCCAGACACATTACGAGGTCGCAGTGAAAGCTATTATGCTATTCATTACGGTATGCAGTATATAATCCGAATCGAACCACGGTTCTGCTATAGTACTTATTGACTGACCAGGTTCCATGAAGGCTTACGAAAGCGCTGGGAAACTTACTGATGAAATAAACTCCATGTTTCAGAAAATTGACGACTACGGACAAGAGATGAAAGCTCTTCAGGATAACATCAAGTCCATCCAAATGACAAAGGCAATAAATAAACTCTTCGTCTCCATTGTAGGGTTTATAGTTGCTTGTGGTTCGTATCTAAGCTACGGGACTCTCTGTATGTCTCCTTAGATGCCTTTTATTCTAAGTCTAAACGCAGCTAATACAGCGGCAGCTAAGATGGTCAGGTTTCTTGGGGGCGGCAACGATAAGTTCGATAAGCACCTTAAAGCTATTAGGGATGGTTACGCCGAAATGGCTGGAGTGATGACCTTTGCCCAGGTAATGGTTAGCTTCTCGTCCCATGACAAGATTAATCGTGTGAAGGATAACACGGTAACAATAATGAAACGTGAGTACTAGAGGATTAAACCATTAATCACCAACCGATATTAAACTAAAGGTTCGAGATACAGAATTGAGTCTACTGAATGAATCACTGACGCCTGATATGAGCCAACAACTTCGCATGATTTATGATCACTCAATCTTTCAGACTGGGTTACACGTGCAAAACTTGCGGTCCGATATCTTTGATGGACCATATGAGCCCTCAGATGAGTTAGGTTTCAATGAAAGGGAGCGAGTTTTTGTGTCGCCAAAGGACCGCTGGCCCAGGCATTTACGTGGGTTTGGAGCATTTGCTACGTCCCGTTTAGCTACATCGAAAGGTTCTCGCCCTTTGATGTGGATTTCAGGGGATCTAGGTCGGCGCAATGTGTGCTGGGTGTCCTCTTTCTGCGTCGATATGATCTCCTATTCCAACCAGTTCAGCAACTTCGATACGGTATATGCCTTTTGTAAGCGAGGCAGGGGGCGGCGGTATTCCCCTACCCTTCTTATCAAGGGATTAGTGATGCAGCTACTAGAAACCCATGCGTTGGTTGTTATGAAGAGACCGGGTCGCTTCTCTAAAACCCGTTTCAGCGAAGTTGGAACTAAAACCAGTCCAAACTCGGGGAACTTAGCCTGGCAGTTACTGGAGGATATCCTCCGGCTGATTGAGACCGCACCAGAGTCCCAAGGCCGTGTTGTCTTGATTGTAATTGATAGGTTGGATCTATGCGTGTCAGAGATAGGTTTTAGTGTCCTAGAACATCTCATTCCACGACTACAAAGCCTCAGCTTTCGGATATCAAGGGTTCAAGTACTAATCACATCGGCAAAGTTCTCACCATACGCGATACCTACCTTACGAAGGGGCTCAGAGTGGCTTCAGGCATACGGGAGAAAGATACATAGGATAACGACATGATGATGTCCGAACCCTCGGTTTGGATGTGCGAACAAGCATTGCACTTTAGATTAGAAATTCTTGGGATTTTAGTACACAATACCTATATTATATAGATATACGTAATCTATAGCAAAAACGACGTCGTAATTACTAGCGAGCAATTACGCCTTAAATATGTGATATAATATTCTGAGTCTCGCTTAGAGTTCACCGCGTAGTAATAGGTCGATCCGTATCTCGCAGCCAATAGACACCTTCTGTTGGATGAGAAAGCGAGGATGGTGTAAAAATGTAAGCGAGGATAGAATCTTGAAAAGGGGTTATTGGAACTAGGTAACAATTAATTTTACCGCCTTTGAGAGTCTGAAGCGTGCCTTATATGCCCGACTACTACGTCCACAAACGTGGGTGTGCCTTATTCTTCTCCTGACTTCGATAGCATGCGATGTACAGCAATAAGGGGGCGCAGCGGTTCTACAAGCCAGACCGATTTCGGCTCGGAAGAGAGATCTGAAATACTACTTGTCTAGTACTAAAAGCCGTGGCGGCGCCGGCTACGTAGAACGTCGCATCCTATAATATCAAATTCTAAGAAGATAACGAAGATGTAGTTAATATAAGTGTGAGTGGTAAAGTAAAAGAGGATCTCCCCGATAAGGCTGTCGTCGTTTACGAAGACTTTAGATAGGTGCGTGCCATCCGAGACTTGGACTTTAAAGAGTTCGGTGTATGGGCGGGTTCTCAAATAAAAAGTATCGGGGCAACATGGCGTCAAGGCTATCCAGGCTTATTGAATAGGAGGTAGTTTATCCCTTGGTGTGTATGACGGGAGAGAAATGCGGGGCCTGCGGCGCGGGGGCGGGGTCGAGTTGGGGCCGAAAGTGGGGGCGAAACTCGGAGGGATCGTAAAAATGCCGCCATATTCGGTTATCGTGTTTCAAAAGGCGAACAAAGTATTCATACTTGTTTAATTCCTCTAGGTATTTCTATTTAAAGCAATATATATATTAATGTCTGATGACTTCGTATCATTAATTTAATACTACTATGAAAAGTATGTAGGGAAAAGGGGTAGAGTCATGTGTTAAGGAGTTTAGAAGACCAAGTGTTAGATCATGTATTGTACGTAGGTACCTGTAATCCTGACAAAGGCTCAGATATCGCACAACTGCAGGGCTACCGTATATCTATGCGCAACACACGGTAGCCCAAGGACGTACGCAAGATAATGATATAAGTGAATTCATGGGACTATCCATAAGTCTAGGGTTTTGAAACCTACCATAATTTCACCATTTGGGTGATTTTCTTGTGAGCACCATAAGCGCTGTGGGAGGAATATTAGCGCTTTCTCTTCCTGACGTTAGTTGAGCCTCTTACCAATAGGGAAAAAGATCAGGAATGGTCTGTGCGCAAAGTCTCATAAAATCTATGACAAGGAGATATCTTAGAAGGTTTTGATATTCGGTCTAAGAATAAGCTAGGTCCGGCCCGCGGTTAATCTATGCAATGAAAAGCCGCGAATATTTTTTTCTGTGCCTTAGGAGGTGTGTGCGAAGTACGCGTTCTCACTGGCTAGCACATGTGAGTCCATGCAGAGTGAGCGGTACTGTAACCAACACTGGCAATTAAATGAACTTGGGCGGTAAACAGGACTAACGGGCAGCCATCTACGTAGTATCCATTGTAAACTTCCCAACTCCACTTGCGAGGTTAATATATTTAAGATGTTGGAGTAAAGAGCCGATTTGTTAAACACTTTACTAACCTAGGTATGTTTGAACTTGCTGTTTGGCGACATATTGCCGATTTCATTGGCTAGAAATGTATGCTATATTCCTTTGAACTTACTTGGGTAGGTACTTAGTGTAATGATGCATGAAGAACAAAGGCCTGGAATTAAATAGGAAGATCAATAACCAACAATCAAGTATTATAAATCCCACTCTTGTTAAAATACCATATAATATGTATGGGGTGGATACGATTTGTCGAAAGTCGTCATACTGAGACAGATGCCTACCTGGCCTACCTAGAAGGTAGATAGTGAGTTCAGTAGTCCATGTTGGATACTTGGATGTAACCCAAGGTTTATATCTGTACCAGTGTGCGTCGCCAATACGCATTACCAGCTGCCGATCAACTCAGCCTACAGGTAACCAGCCTGACATCGCAGAGTCCCGCCACCCTTACCACTGATGGCACGACTGTGTTGGCAACCAATATATACCACGAGACATACCCGATCATCAGACCTTACTCTTAAACAAGACCCACCTCTTGCATATTCTCCTTTTCACTTCTGTTCAAAAATAATATTTTATTGTGCATCCTATTTGCAAGACCAAGATGTCAGATCTTGACTTTTCTCACTTATCACCTGCCGAGCTTGAGGTTGCCCTGGATGAACCCGCACTGAAGCCACCAGACGGTGTTACTCCGAACTTCGAGCACCCAGTGAACGAGAACACCGTATCTCTAGTTTCAATCTTCCTCTGCTTGGTAGTAGGATCAATCTTCCTGGGGTGTAGAATATATATAAGATTTTTTAAGATGAGACAGCAATATATTGGAGACTGTGAGTGCCGTTTACATGTAGGGTTAGGCGACGCTAATTGAAAACCGACAGATTTGATGATTTTGGCATACGTAAGGCCCGAACAAACCCCCCGTTTACTGAGCATAATTGACTAGATTGTAGCCATTCTGGGTGATGACAGCCGTGGGGTCCCTGCGCCGGATCTTTGGAGCTACGGGAATCTTTATACACCAGTGGGATTTTCGCGGAAGGGATATAGCTGAATATCTCAAGGTACGGTTCGATGTATACGATTTGTGGCTGTTCCCTGAGGTATACTAAAGGCTCTCAGGTCATCTTTATGGGTATGTGCTTCTGGGCTGCCAGCACCGCGATGATGAAGTCGGCTATCCTTCTTGAATGGATTCACATATTCTCCGCCGCAAATACACGGACCATTTTCCATCGGAGTTGCAAAATCTTGCTTATCTTTACTCCTTTATTTTACGCCTCCCTTATAATTGCGCTGAATTTATCCTGCACTCCTTACCGAAGGATTTGGGACAAAACTCTGACGGGAACCTGCATCGACATAAAAGCCATTCATATTGCTGCCACCGCCACTAACGTCATACTCGACATTGCAATTTTGATACTACCACAGAGAATCATTTGGAAATTGAAAATGTCGAAGGCTAAAAAGTTCGGCCTTTCTGCGGTTTTTGCCATTGGTATCTTGTGGGTTCGGTGTACTTGAGCTTCACGAAGTCAGACATGCTAATAGAGTAAAACAACACAGTGCCTGTATTGCCGCAGTAGGCCTTTTCGCGGCCATAATTAACTGGGTCGAGTCAAATGACTTGACTTATCATTACTCCGCAGTGGCGCTTTGGGCCATTGCCGAATCGACATGCGGTACAATGATTTTCTGCGCACCCGTGATACCAAAGCTATTCCGAGGTCTTAAACTCAAGTGGGCTTCTACAGTTAGCTCTTGGGCAAGCTCACCTATATTCCACTGGGTTAGGCGCTCTGCAAGAAAGAGTGAAGATATATGGGCGCCTACAGGGCTCGGATCGGATCCCCGCCAATACCGCCATATTGACGAGTCAAACTCTACGGATTTAGGCAAATTCGAGGCCGCCAGACCTACAGATCAGCAATATGGAATCGTCTGTACCACTGACATTCTGGTAACAGAAAGTCGTGATGCCGATTTTGTAACAGACCAACGGGGTAAACAGAGTTCATGGCTTTCCAGCGTCCAGGAGAATCGAGTATAATAAAAAAAGACGCCCTGATCTTCACGTTACTCTTAAGGGAGGACTATAAAATTTAATGGGTTCTATGTGGTCTTTTGAGTTGTAGTGAACAGTTTTTTAGGATATATCTATATCATATCTCGGCCGCTTAATACCATCTCTTACTAAGTTAAGATCGGAAAGTGATACTTATTACGAATTTCTTTTGTATTTACTAGTCCCATAACTATGGTAAATTATTCACTTGGTGCTTCATCGTGCCGTCAGCCTCCTGGGATAAACGCACAACCACGCATTTTAGAGCAACACTCTACAGTGAGTAAATCCCATTATATATGGTTGTACTTGACCCTCTTGTGACGAACCTATACTTAGGTACGTTAAAGTATAGTGCTGGTTGAGTCTTTATTTTAGGTAAACAGTAAAAATACGAGTCAAGGTGGTAAAATAACTAATACTGAGGTGTTCGTCAGGAAGGCTTGGAGTCCTTCCTCTGAGTATGGGTTAGATACTAGACTTAAAATTGATAACTGTAGAATAAATGACTATATACACAAGGAGATCCTCCCTTCTTATATTCATTCTATCTTCCATATATTCTGAATGAATCATGAATCGATGAGAACGAGTTCCCCTATTCATGATTCACTTTCTGGGTCCCGTGACTTTCACGTGACCCTCTTGTTGGAGGTCCGTCACACCTCTTAGGAAAGATTTCCCCCAACATGAATGCTCCCAAGTACTTTGCAAAATACCAAGTAGTAATCATCAATAATCGTCTATTTCACTAGTATACGAGAGACTCTATGAGATAACAATTACAAAATAAGTAAATATCAAACACTCGATTCTTTTACCCCTATTTATGATTTAGTAAGATAGAAGCATGAGTAAAAGGCGTTAAGTACCTACCTTAGGAACAAGTAGGTACCTATATATGTCTAACTTAACTTTCTTTATCAACCCTGTCTATTAAAACAGTTCACTGCTATCGAAACTAAAACAACTTTTTATTCCGTAGAATAACGAGTCCTCCATTTAGAAACATATGGTCTTGTTAATGCGTTGGGGAAACTCTCGGGTTTCTTGAACGTAATAGGGATCTTCCGTACTTCTGACTTACTGTGAAGATCGGAATAGGTAATGGTTAATTGAAACTCCTAGTAAGATAAACCATACCTAGGTATAAAAGTGATCTTGACACTATTTCATTCAGGCCTGGATATAATCTAGCGTTTTAAGTGAGTACGTTAAAGTATAGGATGTATGGTCAGCCTAAGAATCCATCCTATATTGATCCAATTAATGCTTTAAATAATGTTGGAACCAAAAATTGACGCCTTAGAATGTCACGTCCCAGAAGTCTTGTGATGGGGGGGATCGTAACCGAGGCTTTGGATCCTTTGCCTGTTGGTTGCCGGTTCACTACTAGACCAACTAGATAGTCAACGCAAGGGACCTTTCTACCTACTGTCCATTATCTTTCTACGTCACTCACTGTAAATAGATTTTTAAAAGACAAAATCCGTTTTCCCTTACCACCTTTTCCGTTGTTCTGACTTAAACACCTTTATCTTTATATAGGTAGAAGTTTCAGTCCGGGTAGTTATCCCATAATCAACTCAGTTTAGCTTTACTAGACCCTTTTCATAATTCTTACGATTCATAATTCTTATGATGGATTCTAGTACTATTTCGATTGAACCCGGTTCCAAAGTTGCAATGGAAGAATTAACCAACGGAACACAGAGCGGAAATGAAGCCCCCATACATGGCCAAGGCGAGAATGGGTTTAATTATATAACGGGATGGAAGTCTCGCACTATAATGGCAGCGTATGTCCTTAGAAACTTGTTCCAGGGGAGTCATTCGTTAACTCGGATAAAGGCTAGGGTTTGCACTCTTCCTCGTCAACCTTGAACTCACCATTGTCGGCACCGCTCTCGTTTCCATTACCAACGATCTCAACGACTTCGTAAAGGCGAGCTGGGTTGTCACGGCTTATTTGATAACTTATACTTGTAAGAGGCATGACTTCCTATCCATGAAATACGTTGTCACTTAACTAGAATGCTAGCTGGTCTAGTAATTTGGGCGAAAATTAGCGACCACATAGGGCGTAAACAAGCCTATGTAGCCTCTCTAATCACCTTCAGCGCGTTTGCTGGAGGATGTGGTGCATCTCAGACTATGGTTCAACTGTCAGTTCTCCTTTACTTATTGCTTAATTCCTTCTCCTATTTCCTATTTAACGTTCATGTAGAATAGTCTGTCGCGCATTTCAAGGCCTAGGAGCCGGGGGTGTTTATGCAGTAGCCATCGTCATGCTCTACGAGTTAAAGCCACCTGAAAAGCTCGCCCAAATCACGTCTGTCTCAGCTGGCGCGGCTGCGCTTGGAAACGCTTTGGGCCCTATTTTTGGCGGCTTGATATCTCAAGGATCAACATGGCGATGGGTATTCCTCCTTAAGTAAGTTCAGCCAATCCTGCTTGAAGCACATCGGATATTGACATTTATTGAGTGTCCCATCAGGGGTTGTTGCGGCTATTGTGGTATTATTCGTGGTTCCGAATGACTACCCGTATCAAGGACTCCTACGAAGAAAGCCACAACTCAAATTTCGGACCCTCGATTTCACAGGGGCATTTTTCATGCTTACAGCATTGGCCTTACTTATCAGCGGGCTTGAACAAGCTGCCTCACTGCTATACTGGGCATCTGCTACCGTAATTGTTCCGATTTGTGTTTCCGCTGTCGTATGGGTGGCATTCTTTGCTAGTCAATGGTACTTTACCCTCCCTGGGAGTTCAGTAGAGCCAGTCTTCCCTTGGCGGTTCTGTCAAAATCGAGAGATGATGGGTCTTCTGGTGTAAGTCATCGCATCTTTACTTCCAGTTGCCAAAGCATTATTAACGATATCGCCAAAGAAACTCCTTTATGACCGGATCAGTCAGTATAACATGTATCATTCAACTTCCCATTCGATACCAGACATCAGTAGGAGCCAGTCCGCTGCAAACTGGTGTCAGGTTACTGCCTTTTGTACTATGCGGTCCTCTTGGTGTTATCCTTACTGCGTCAATCTCCAAAAAACGACGAGTCCCCCCATTGTACTCGGCCCTCGCTGCGTCGATCTTGCAAATACTAGGGCTTATCTTTATATCTCGAGGTCCTGCAGACAATCCGGACTGGTCCCCTTTGTATGGGCTCGAAATCCTGACCGGTCTGGGAATGGGCATGGGTATAGGGATAGTATCATTGCTAACACCCTATGTGACAGAAAAAAGGGATTTAGGTAAGTAGATTATTCATGAAGTATCAACACGACGGCAATGTAGCTAACGATTAAAACAGCGGTCGCATCTGCAGCTGGAACTCAATTTCGCTTCATCGGCAGCGCTTTTGTAGTCCCCATTACCACTGCGGTGGGTAATGGGTGGGTAAAAGATCAATTGTCCAGCTCGCTGACGTCTTCTCAAATTGACCGAATCTTTCAATCGACGGCTTCTATCTACGAACTTCCAAAGCAGTTACAACCTAGTATTAGAAGTACATTTGTCAAAGGCTTTAATCTCGAAATGCATGTTGTACTTGGATTCGCAGTTGCATCTGTGCTTAGTATAGCGTTGATGTGGCGAAGGAATCCGATTAGGGTTGAATGATCTCGAGTGTCTTTGAGATATCCAAACGTCGGTTACCTGAGGCAATATCACGGATCACGAATCTGGTTGTTCCATTTATTACTTTAAACTTGCATTGATGATGTAATATTCTGTTTGGAAATGCTGATAGTATAGTTATATAGCTCTCTTTATGATTTAGATCTATATGCAAGAAGAATTTGGTCTTTGAGGAAACCATCCCGTCGAGTTCGGGAGCCCCTATGCTTGGTAAGACGCCCTCCACGAACTCGTACGTATGGTGATCCCCCAACTCGTAACGAAGGGCGGTTTTATAAATAGATTAGTCGTGTGGGGTCTAAACTCGAAGCTTCGTAAACCTCTTAAAGACTCGCCAGTCTAAGTCTCAAAAATCTAAGGAGCTGCTTAACAAGCATGCCACGAAATGATATTATTGAGTACTGGCTCACCTACGAATTGGTTTCCGACCTGTGCAGACATAAAAACTGCATTTTTATCTAAATGCCTAGCCTGATAGGAATAGCGTATAAGAATTTAAGAATTGGCATGCCGTTACCTATCACTACCTACCTATTTTTTACATTTCCACATTTCCTATGTGAGAAAGATTAAGTACGTTGGGACCAGGATGTTGCAAAAAGTGAGCTGAGCCCCAAGTTTCGATTTGCTTGGTCTCACATCCTGGAGTAGGGATGGGAAAAATATAATATCACTAGCGTATAATACGGTATAATATTATATAATACCGCATAATTGATCAGTTATACGCATAAAACCCATTCCTATCCTGAAGACAGGGAAGACAGTGCAAAAACAGTTTCTAATACCAACAATGGGACAAAACGCACTGTGTGAGGGGCTATCTTGGATCTCCTGGGGCAGGACTCCATTTTAGAAATCTACATCTTTCTCAACATCAAGTTCAATAAGGCTTTAAACATACAATAACTTATGTGATGGAGAAAAGAAAGATTCTTAATACTTCTAAAAAACACCAACATTCAGTATTATACGTAGGTAAATACACATGTAAATGATAACCGTGTAACACAAAAGCCTACCTCCTATGGTTGCAATCATTTATGCATATGAAATACTACGGTTGTAATATAACATGGCCGATATATTGGAAGATGGTGGTGATGATGGTGGGCAGTGTATGTCATATGAGTTCTGCTTGTCGTTCATACTACGCCAATCACATACACTGCCGCCTTCTCTTGATGCCCGTATTTCGGTAAACACCTTCCCGTCTCCAATCCCTTACCCCGGTAACTGCTACATGGTATAGGCAATATTACCCAATTCTAAGCTAAATCCCAAACTCCCGGTATTCCAATGAGTCCAACATCTAGACGATTCAGTTCTCCTAGGACCAATAGTACAACGGCTCATGGTCATCACTCGCCGAGCTCGTCCACCCGCCGTAGACGATGTGCCATTGCTATTATCGGCCTCTCCTTCCTACTACCAGAGGTCGACTCTACGGAATCGTTCTGGGATATTTTGATGTCTGGTAAATGTGTAGCCTCCGAGTTTCCTCTAGAACGTCTTTGTAGTTTTAGACATCACGATGGCGGTAATGATGGGACAGGAACCGTAAGTAACGCGTTATTTTTTACGCCCCTAAAATTTTATATTTAATATTGGCCACGTATCCCACCCATGATATGATATGATGCAAGGGGCCCTCGGCATAGTGACCCTCATACAGATTTAGCCCCAGAAAACCTCGTTTATACGAAGGGACATTGGTTCATCTGATGCTCGATTCTTTATGATGACGTCCGCGGAAGCAGCAGCAATGGATACTCAGCAAAGAATACTTCTAGAAACTACTAACCGCGCTCTCGAGAATGGTATGATACATTTATACATACTCTGATATGTTGTTCAGGCCCATGTTATATATTATTGTCTTGCTAACGTTAAGTACCTCTTAGCCGGGGTTCCGATAGAGATCATCAACGGCTCGGACACGTCTGTGCACATCGGCTGCTTCACTACAAACTCTGCTCCGATCTGTGCAAAGGACCCGGACAACTTGCCCAAATACGCCGTTACTAGAATAGCAGGTAGTATGTCATCCAATAGGATCAGCACCTTTTTCAACTTGACTAGCCCTACCATTACCGTTGACACTGCTTGATCAAGTAGCCTAGTAGCCTTGGATTTAGCCTGTCAAATTGGACATATGAACCAATGTTCGCAACTCTTCAATAGATGACCACAGCTGCTCCTATTTCTACCGATGCTGACGCTATGATCGATAACGGTTCCAAGTTGGTCGAGAAAGTAGCCGCTTCGGGATCACTGAGCGAGGCAGCAGATATTTTGGCAAACGGTCTAGCGATGAAACTTGTAGCGATCTTCTCCATGCCGCGGGAAAGCCTTGATCTAAATCAACCCCTACATAATTACGGAGTAGATTCCCTCATCGCCATAGAGCTACGGAACTGGTTCATTAAGACACTCAAAGTTGACTTGGCTGTCTTTGAAATTTTGGGTGGCGCCACAGCTATGATGTTAGGACAAGCTGCGGCAGAGAAGATACGATCATGGACTTGAGCTGTAAGGCTCTAATAGGAAGGATGTTATTCAGATACTATTTCTTGATGTTTCCATTCGCCATAACAAATCAGAAAGGCAAAGATTGTATTTCTTAGGTACCTATTAACATGGGCCTAAACTTATCTGGTAGACTCTTTAAGATAATATAATCAATAAGTCCAACCGGTTGAAAGCCACATTAAAACATCCGGCAACTGTTTAACTAAGTCGGTATCGTGATGTATACGATAACTCGCTGTTCAATTTCTTAGGGATATTCCAAATGCTACCCGAAGAAAATGAAGTCACAACCATAAACTCCAATGCTTAAGCCCATGAATCTAATAAACCGTAACCGCGCTCACAAACCCATTCTTCAACACTTCAAAAACCATACCAGGGAATCCATACAATGTAGTTGTAGAATCTTCGTTACCATCGAACTTCTTCGCTGCCACTCCTCCACTACTATCTTCCCAGCCCCCTAGAAACTCACAGCTACTCCCAGGGCTATCCCCCCATCCTCGATTTAGGACCATACCTCGTTGACGCCTCTTGGCATCCTCCTCGGTTGGGTATGTGCTCTTCCACTCTTCCCTTAGCCGCTCCTCAATCTCATCGAACGGTGTTTCGGAGTCTATAACGTCGTCTGCGTTCCCCGTCGCGAGATACTGAATTTCCCAACGACAACGGCGATGCCTATTGAATGGGTATGATCCAGGCACATTCGCGTGAAGTACCATTTTGGTAGCCACCAATCGATCCGCTGTAGCACTCTTGAACGAGTTCGCTCCAGGCACCTCCTTCCCTTTCAATGCGGCGACTTGGGATGGAGGTGTCCGCGAAGGGGGTTGAGGTGGTGATACCAAGATATCAAACCCTAGATAGAAATAGTTGTAAAAGCATTCACCTGACACGTTACCCACAATCTCATCGTCGATAGCTTCGTCTTCGGAGTCATCCGACCCGGTGTGTGCCGATGATTGATCGGTATCGGTCAGATCATCTGGCCGCCTATATTCACCACCGTTCGATCTAGACCGGCTGTGGCTTGCGGTGCGAGTCTTATGGATATACATCCTCTGGTCATTCTTCCGATATATAGCATCGGGCGGTCCCAGCTCTGCTACCAGGTCTTGAGGTGTAGTCTCCCCCAAATTGATCCATACTGACATGTTAGTCCATTTCCTGAACAACTGAAGCCTACCACCGCCATGTATCTTGACTAGGGAGACTTCATCAGGAACGACCTCTTTACTCTTATTAAAAACAAACGCCGACTTGACGCTTGGGAGAATCTCATCCCACAGAGTCTCACGAGCATGAGCCCAGGACTTCCCACTGAATATCGCAACAGAAATAGCCGTCTGGCTTACAGGTGAAGACAGCAAAGAGACGACGTCTTTATTCGGAGAGTAAGCCGACTTCGGCAAGGGAAAACTAAATGCTACTCCAGGATACGACAGTATATAGGTGCCCATGGCATTGCCGTGACCCGAATCCGCAGGGGGGATATATTCTCCAGCATATGTTGGACCAAATAGGCGGTGGTAGATGTTCTTAAATGCTGGACCAGCTGTAGCATCTCCACCTAACCCAGGTGATCCGACCGAAGTTACGGGCTTAGCGATGTCCTTGTCCTGATAGGTAATACGATTTTTGGTAAAGTCGATAATCTCGATAAGGCGAAGTCGCTGCTCGGGACCATCGAATCGCAATCGTATACCGTTTGCGGGAAGGCTGACGGTGACGGGTTCACCAACAGGATCGGTGGCAGAGTAGGCAAGATCTAATTTGGGGTAGCGCTGCGGTTCGGCCTTCAGCCGCGTGAGGATGTCGTGGAGCGAAGCACCGAGCACTGGAGAAAAGATGATTAGCATCTTCATCAATGACAATATAATATGACAATATAATATCAACTTGATACTTACCGAGGAAACCAAGGCCAACACTAGGGTGAAGAGCCGCGGTAAACAGTGACGACATGTTGAAGCTGAATCTAATGGTGCTCAGTGATAAAATGTGTCAGGAAACCCGATGCGATACCAGCTACTATGTAGACTTAAACCAAGTAAATGAATACGTCAACCCGGCCCAAGGTAAAAATCCATAAAGGCCAGAGTCCGATATGGTAAAGACGTATAGGTATGATGATTACATGTAAAATAGAAGTATGGTTGCCTCAAGTCAAGCCGCTTGGCTCGAAAGGCTAAAAGCGCAAAGGGGAGAGAATTGTCAGATGCAGAAGATGGAGAAGTTGCGCTGGGGACGTCATTTGTTACAATGCACAGGTCAGGCACGCTGCACATGTGCACGCCTATGAGGTAGCATTAGCCTTGCATTACCTCAGCCGTTAGTCTACCCCGCCCAACACTACCAAGCTAGGTTAGGTACTTAATCTACCTAAGCTCTATCGGTGGGGCCCGTGATTGTTGTCCCAGCAACGGCATTAGGTGTGTACATTTCTAACCTAGGCTAATGTATGTATTGATATTTTCAGTGGGACCCCCAATAACATTAGCGAAAAGCACAGACTTTGCAGATACAACATCGTGTCGCGTCTCTCTTCCTTGCACAATTCCAATTGACCAAACCCAACTTCTACATACATATGTACAAATCCTACACGTCCCACCTTACACCTTATTCTTCCACAAAGCTGAAGATCTTATTCCGTCACACAAGTCCTATCTCGCTAGGTAGTGAATTAGTCTACCTCTCTTCAATATCCCTCCATGAGCTATCCTCTTCCCTTATCTAATTCCTTACCCTCGTCTTACTCTGTGTTAACACAGCTCAACCTTATTTGTTAGCTTAAAGTACCAGCTTACATACAATATCCCACTAAATCAAAATTCCGACAGACAGCCGCGATGCAGGGCCGCTCTTATAGGAGCGAAAGGCCCCCTACGGCTTCTAGCACCCGCCCTAGTACTTCTGCTTCTGCTTCTGCTCGTTCTGCCACTTCTTCTTCTACTGCCCGCTCTGGTATTCGACCACCTACGAATAGAACTCCATCGCTTCGAAACCAAGCCCTTCATCATCATGCTGCCGTCGCTGGAAGAATTCCTAGGAATGCAGCGCCTTCACCGGCCGATTCGCTATCGTCTGCTGCTACCTTAGGCGCCAAACGTAAAGAGCGCGATTACGAGATAGAGGCAGGCGCAGAGACGAATATCGATGTCGTTGTTAGATGCCGAGGGCGTAATGATCGAGAGGTACGAGAGAACAGTGCCGTCGTGGTTTCTACCGAGGGCGTGAAGGGTAAATTAGTCGAATTATCTATGGGTCCAAGTGCCTTGAGCAATAAGACCTACAACTTTGACCGTGTCTTTTCCCAAGCCGCCGATCAGAGCGTGTTATATGATGATGTCGTCAAGCCCATACTCGAAGAGGTATGTCGCGTGAACTAATAACCCGTTCAAATACCCAGCTAACTCCCATCTAGATGCTCGGAGGATACAATTGCACCATATTTGCCTATGGCCAAACCGGCACTGGCAAAACATATACCATGTCTGGAGACATGAACACTACCTTAGGCCTCCTTTCCGATGACGCCGGAATTATCCCGCGAGTCTTGCACTCGCTCTTCCAGAAATTAGATGCAGAGAATACCGATAGCTTTGTCAAATGTTCCTTTATCGAGCTGTATAACGAGGAACTTCGGGACTTGATCTCTGTCGAAGAAACTGCCAAACTAAAAATATTTGACGACGCGTCTCGAAGAGGTCACGCCACCACAGTTGTTCAGGGCATGCAGGAGACACACATCAAGAACGCCGCAGAAGGTATCAAGCTCTTACAAGATGGTAGTCTAAAGCGACAGGTAGCGGCCACCAAATGCAACGACCTGAGTAGTCGAAGCCATACTGTGTTTACTATCACAGCATGTGTCAAAGAAACAGAAGATGGGGCCGAGTACGTCAGTGCCGGAAAGTTGAATCTCGTGGATCTTGCCGGTAGCGAGAATATTCAGCGTTCTGGGGCCGAGAATAAGAGAGCTGCGGAGGCTGGCCTGATCAACAAAAGTTTGCTTACTCTCGGGCGCGTTATCAACGCGCTGGTTGACCACAGTTCACATATCCCCTATAGAGAATCCAAATTAACCAGACTACTACAAGATTCTCTAGGTGGCCGTACGAAGACCTGTATCATCGCCACTATTTCACCAGCGAAGAGCAACCTTGAAGAGACCATATCGACCCTCGACTACGCCTTTAGAGCAAAGAACATTCGGAATAAGCCCCAGACTAATCAGAGAATCAACAAAGAAACCCTTCTCAAAGAATTTACAAATGAGATCGAGCGACTACGAAGCGAATTGATCGTGACCCGTCAACGAAATGGTGTCTATTTATCCAACGAGAGTTACGAAGAAATGACCGCCGAGAGTGAATCTCGTAGAATCCGAAATGAGGAACAGGCCGCCAAGATCGAATCCCTCGAATCCAACCTACGAAACAAAGTCCAGGAGCTCCTCTCCTTGACTTCCAGTTTCATGGGCTTGAAGAAGGACCACGATGCTACCAAGGCCCAACTCGACGAGACAAAGGGTCTTCTCGATCAAACCGAGTTGGTGCTTGAGGCAGCCCGCAAGAGCCTTGCCGAAGAAACTCACTTGCGTAAGGCACATCAGAGGACTGAAGAGCAGATGCAGGCGATCGGTGGAGAGCTTATTACTACGATTCATAAGACCGTCAAAGACGTGGGTAGTCTACACGCCAAGAATAAAAGAAAATCGGATCTCCAATCTTTAAACCGGATGAATTGGAGGACAGCTCAAGGCGAGGTATCCGACGTGACTTCATTAGTTGAGAGCCGCGTGGAAGAATTTCGTAATGAGCAACAGCAACATATATCGAGTATCTCGGAACGAATGCATTCGTTCGTAGAGGGTGAACTACAGAAATTGACTACCACCCAATCATTCCTCGACCAGAACCTAGAGCTCTTCGCCCAGTCTAAGAGAGAATTGATGGAACAGAAGGAAAAGTCCAAAGAGGAGATGGATGAGATACTCGAAGAGATCAAAGAAGTCCGGGATCACATCAAAGAAAGGGTGGGCGAGAGCCTTCAGGCTATTGCGACAGCAGCTGAGCGAATAGCTCAGGATGTGCTCAGCGAACTAGGTATTTTCCACAACCAGCTACACACGTCGTACTCTTCGCTTGGTAAAGACTTCAAGTCAATATTCGAAGAGTTATTAAAACACATCACCTCCCAAAAAAAGGAATCCGACAGTCTTCGGGAGCAACTTCACCAGGCGAGCAACACCATCGTCCAGACGAACACTTCCATCTCGACGCAGCTACAAGAAGTCATCAACGAAGAGCGGAGACAAGCGGCTGAAGAACGACATAATCTCCTAGCACAGATCGCAAACCTCATCAATTCCCAAGCTGAGATTCAGGAATCGCGTCTGGCGAACAAGGCTGTTTCTATACAGCAGAGTGTGCAAGGCAACAGTACTGCGCTCGAAAGCAGCATGGCGCAATATTCTCAGGGGATGGATAATTGGAACGAGAAAGAAACTAGACTTCTTGACGAAGTTGCCAATTCTCGGGAACTCTTGAAAACTAAGCTAAAGGACGATTGGACAGTAAGGCACCCCTTCGAGCTCTTCTGCCTACAACGTTACTAACAGTATGACAGATTGCAAATAAGCATAGCACTTCAATACAGGATACAACCAAGTCAGTGCATGCCGAGACGGTGCGAGTTGTCGACGAGCAAATAAAGGATCTTGACGAGCAGATGACATCCCTAGACGACTTTGTTTCTCGTGCCCGTTCGCAAAATGCCTTACACCATGATGATCATGCCGAGTCTGTGGAGAGTTTATCTGGTACCGTCGAAGGTTCATACGGAAATATCGCCAACCATTTCAAGAGTACCTATTCCAGGGTCCAGACCCTTGGCTCGGAGATGGAAATTGATGTCATCAATGCGCAAAATTCCATGGAACCTCTTTCAGAAAGTATTTGCCAGCCTCTGTCTGATCTTCGGGAAGACATAAACAGCACAGTGCTCCAAGAATATCAACCGACTGGTGATACACCCCGGAAGACGACTTACGAATACCCTTCAGAACTCCCACATACTAGGCCGCACGAAGCACTTCTTAGAGAACTAAACGGCGAGCCATCACCCAGCAAAGCTAAGGTCTTTTCCGACTCGGACCCGAGTTTGTCAGAAAACCGATCTCCATCTAGACCTTTCTCGTCAGAGACCACGTTCCCACTTTCGGAACGCGATCAGAACCCTTTATCAATGAGTTTACGAGAGGTGCACCCAAACCTTAACCTTAACGTGACAGGCGCGCTCAGTCTTGATGCTCACGCTAACGCCACAGTCCATGCATTCGGAGCTAACGTCGGCCCAGGGATGATGGACACGACCGCGGACGCAGACGGAGATTTCGCGATGCCCGTATTTAAGAAGAGAAGGACCACACGATCATCAAAAGTGGGTAAGCAGTCGATGCCTGCTGAGGGACGCGAAAACATACCTCTCCTTTCATCAGTAGTGCCTGGAGGGGGTAGGGAGATCTTCGCACAAAGTATCTCAAGAAGAAAGAGCCCAAGGCTAAACTAGAGAACATGATTAGTAACTTAGGCACTCTGGGGACTTGATCATCGGGTGACGGATGGCCAGCGCAAAAATTGCTGCGGCAATGTGGAAGTGGTGGAAGTGATAGGCGTTTGAATTATAGGAGTTTGATGATAGCGGCGGCGAAGTGGGCGTGCGCATTTGTTTTATACGGTGCGGAGAGGATCATGGCTTGATACGTTCTCCTTGGAGCTTTCTCTCCTGTCTTGGTTCATCAACACGGCTAGTATACTAGATACCCCTGACTCTTGATTGCTCTTGTTCGAAATAGGAACGAGAATTGTGTATTTTTTTTTCAACTACCTTAGGTACTATACTCTTGGTTCACCTATGGCTATTTTTATCAATGTTCAAGTCTTCGCTCTTTGCCACACCCGACTATTCATGAGACTATTCTTCGCTATAGCCTCCTCGACTCATGACAGCTTCCAATTAAAATTCATCAAACTAATAAGGACGGACTATCGGTGAAGTCTAATAGGTCTGACCACTGTTCTTACTTCTCACTGTTGCCATCGTCTCCTATATCAATAGGTAATAGGTAACAGGTAATAACTCAACCCAAACCTAGGTGCTCATGACTACCCACCCGATGCCACTTCTTACCGTAAAGAGCCGGGCGATGCCCGAGAGTATATAAATATATATATATATATATATACATATTAAAGCTTATGAACAGCGGAAGACTCGTAAATCATGCGCGAGACTTTTGTACGGCGTTCAGGATGCTCTCCCAGACCCACGGAGCCCGGGTCGCGGTGTTAAACTGGGCGTTGAAATCGCCCACGGCGCGGAACCGGTACCACTTCCTCGCGGCGTTCTCCGCGGACGTGTCCCGGGCGAGGTTCACGATGCCGAACCTTCGGGACACGGGGCGCAGTTCCGACAGCTTGACGCGGCTCACGCGCGGCTTAGCGATGAAGCTCATGGTCGTGATGTCGAGCTCCGCGTCTGCGGGGATGGCACGCGCGAACCGTCGCAGCATGTCCTCGGACTGCCGCGCTACGGGCGGTAGGCGCATGTGGATGAAGGATACGAAGGGGGAGGTGGTGTATGCTACGAAGACTAGGGGGATGATGGCCGAGAGCGTTGCTGTGGTCGGGGTTAGTAGGTATACGGGAGGGATTGAAAGGGATTAGGTAGGTAATAAGGGGCATACTGCGGAGCACGGTGGGTGATAAGCCTTCCCGGTCGAAGTACGCTGGGGTCACGACGAAGCCGAAGAAAGCGAATATGAAGAGCGTCGAGATCTTCAGGCAGGCTAGGAAGGTTGTCCGGCCTGTGCCGGCGTGGTATACGCAGAGATTCTCTGGGTATGCTGTGGTATAATTAGTACGTTAGAAGGCAGTTTGATATCATATAGAATGACTGACCGAATCTGGGTGTTTGCGGCTTTGGACTAGCCGCGGCGTTTGCTTTGGCTGCTTTCGTTGTGTTTGTTGCGGTCGTTTCGAATCTCATGCCCAGGACCCGAAAATTGTGCCTTACGGGCGAAAGATTACGAGGAACTACATTTTGGAAATTGGTAGTGCTGTGTCTGAATGGAATCCGTTGAGCTCTCCTTAAAGCTCCGAGGATTAACATGATTAAGAGGCTTTGATGTGAAATTCCTCTTATAGCTCTTGATGGTGTCTAAGTAAAGTGATCTTCACTAAGAATTCACGGGATTTACGCCAGCTGAAGCGGGTTTTGACAGTTGTCGCCAGATGGCTTTAGCTATAATTCCGTAGTTTTCGTTATACTTGCAGACTTGTTACCTTCGTCGAAATGATACTATTCAAGACTATTCGATATAATACTGATTCAATTCTAATTAGTGCTACATGTATATACTACACACATGATATAAGCTGGAACTTGCGGTACGATGATATAATTATTATATTTGGTAAATACCTAACAACCTATATTAGGTAGCCCCTCATTCATAGCCTTAGGTTATAATCATCCGAAGTATGATCAAGCAATACTTCTATTTATGCCTTATCTTACTGCTTTCCTTCAACCGAGATTCTTGGTCAACCACTCCTGCCACTGCTCCTTGGTCCACGACGAGCTAATATCATTTGCGACGATGCCGTCGTAAATAACAGTGGGGCTGACATGTACACCCACCAGTCTACCGTACCGGATTTGCAGCTTCAGGTCGTTGGTGACCTTGTTTCCGGTATTGCCAATGCTGCCCTCCGGCACCTTGTCCGGGATGACGAGCAAGTCATACAGCGCCTGCTCGTCGATGCCGACGGTCGCGGCTAGTTTAGCTAATCGACGGTAAGTGTCGTTGCGGGGCTCATTGACGACGCGCTCATCGAAATACTCTAGCTGCGCTTTGAACAGGGCGTCGCTAAAGTCCCAGTACCGATGGGGTGCGACCTGTAATACGGCAACGCCTGCCTCATGCACAAGCGTCGACGACGGGTGCCAGGGCTGGATCTGCTGGCGGAAGATGATCTGCAGGTTGCTGGCCCACTTGGGGTTTTCTTTGACGAGGGGCACGACCGAGTGATAGAAGGTCTTGAACTGCTTAGCCGAGAACGGGCACACGTAATCGAGGAACAGCTCGAGGGTGTGCACAGCCGGAGGCACGCCGGATGTAGAGGAGGAAGGCTGTCCGAAGAGCAGTCGCTGGCCAGCGAATTTGGGGTTAAGCGCCATGTTTGATTGTGTAGTTGAGAATTGACGAAAGCTTGAAGAAGGAATTATAAATGTAGCTAGAAGTTGTCTGGAGGGATAGAATTGGGGTTTATTATAGGCGAGAGAGGAGAAACTCCGAGCTAGACGCATCGGAGACTCATAAGTGACGGAACCGACTTGTCACGTACATGTAGTTAATGCTTCAGGACGGAGAGATGCCGAATAGTAGGAGATGCATTCGGTGACGCCATATGTTGTGATAGCTCCGGTGTGGTGGGGTAGCTACCTCTTTACATATTATGTATGCAAGACTTACTAATAAGATGTGAAGTAAGGGAACATAGTGATGTATAAGTTTAGTATTAGACTTTACCGAAGCATGTTTCTAATTGTGAATATTAGGTACTTATACAGTTGTAATTTTATCATCTACCTAACTCACAGCGGACAAAATGTAAAAGTTCTTAGTTACACTATTTTAATAAGACTTGCTATTCGGACAATTGGACTTTTGCTATTTATACGGTATTCTTCGCTATAATTCCTCTAGCAAATTCTCCAAACGTAATGTGCTGGTCCAAGTCGACTTCGTCTTCAAGATTTGGCTGCGTGAAGACGGCGAGTGTATTTCGAGCAACACCTTTAGCATACGCTCCCCTTACCGAGTGCTCCACAGCCTTGAACTTGCCCCCAGTAATCCTTTCAAGTGCCTCGCCGGTCTGAAAGGCGATGCAATCCCGAGGGATTTTGACTTGGACCGGCACGCCCTTTCTATCCTTAATCCAGAGTCCGGCTTGTGGATCTGGCGACGCGGGCAATTCCTCCAATGTCGGCAGCAAGTCCGGCACCTTTCCGCTGAAACTGGGAACCTTCGCGTCTGTCTTTAGTTCGTCAACAAACATAGCAGATGTTAGGCCCGTCAAGCAGCCGTGGTCCTTGTGAACTGCACACCAATTATCCTCTTCTTGGTTCTTCGCCATGATCTCTTCAGGCATCGGGTAGTAGTGTAGGAGCCTGGCTTTCGTTGTGGACGAAGATTTGACCACCTTCTCCAAGTAGGCTGAAGGGTACCCTGGGATTTCTTTTTCGGCGAACCTATCACAAGCTCGCGCAACTAATACGGCTGTGTCGATTATGAGTCTACACATCTGTTCCATCGTGGGCTTGAAACCCGGCAGCGTCTCGTTAGGCGGCCACGAGTTCGGCGCCAAGTACTCGGGGAACTCTTTCAGAGGAAACTGTTCCGTCGGTTTTGCAGACTCTAAGGCTGGGTCTACGTAGAATGCGCAGTTGGCGTAAAAGGAGCCCTTGTATTCATCGGCCCCTCCGTCCTTGAGTTTTTCTCTGCCTTTGGACCATCCTACTAAATACTTTGCAGCTTCGTTCGTAAACTTATCTAGAATTCTGTAAGACATCTTTCGAGCGACAGAGTGACCACCTCCAACCTATTCGTTCTTAACATACCAAAGTCTGCTTCTGATAAGTTGCCCATATACGAGGCATACGACAGCAACTGGTGTCTTAACCCTGGGAACTCTGCCGGGACATCTTTGACGACAAGAATTCCCAGCGACTCCGGGCCAAAGGCTTCTTGTAATGTCTCAAAAGAGATGTTCCCTAAATGGTGAGGAACGGAAACTCTCTAGGGGGTCTCATACTGCAACGCTTACCAGTCTTGAGATCGGCCAATGACACAACAACCGGCTGTGCTGTCGCCATGCTTAGTTGTTCGGAAAGTTTCAAGGAGTAAATGAAAACTACGGTTAATTTGGGATAATTAAGAAGAAATGCAAGCTGAGCTGGGTAGGTTTGCAGACGTCCAATACGTATCTTACTGAAGAATATTGAAGATTTTTCGATATCTTTTTTACGGCTTCGCAAATTCGCCCTAAGGATACCGTCGGCATTTCTAGCACTTACACCAAAAAGTCTGACCACCACCGGCGCGTTCCGGGCTACCATAGAAGCTTCCCGTTATGGATTACATACTTGGCGATAACTCCTAAGTACCTATCCTCGCTAACTTAAAGGATAGTGAATAATATGATGTCTATGTCACAAGAAAACGAATAGGAGACTAGGTATACTAAGAGATGTGATATTTTATAATTATTTCAATGAGCGCCGTAGGTATTCCGTAATTGTTAGGAAATAAAACTTTGAAAAATTTAGGCGGACTGTTCTGTTTTAATAAGCCGGTGTACATAGTACGAAGTATTTATGTACCTACGTACTTCAATTGTATCGAGTGACGCCAGTCCTTTTCTTATCGGAGCTCCTTTTTATCTAAACAGTTACCTACCATACACCCATACACTCATCCACCCAAACACCAACAACCTATCCTGTTATTCTATATAGCACCGGCACAGGCTAGAAAACAATTGAAGACCAGGTAGTATCAACATGGTCAAGCCACTGTCTTTCAAAGGCGACAAGAAGCCCAAGAAGAGAAAGCGTACCGAAGCGGACCCGACTGCTGAAGATGCGGGCCCTAGCAATCTCGCGGTTGCCACGACGGCCGAAGGTGCAGAAAACGACGATAGCTGGGTATCAGCTGACGCTGTCGGGGATGTTCAAGGCCCGGTTATGATCGTACTTCCAACAGAACCCCCGACCTGCCTAGCTTGCGATGCCAATGGCAAGATCTTCACCGACCCCATCGTGAACATCATTGATGCGAATCCTGCCAGCGCCGAACCCCACGATGTGCGCCAGGTTTGGGTCGCGAACAAGATCTACGGCACCGAGAACTTTAGGTTTAAAGGCCGCTACGGAAAGTATGTGCTTCTTCCTATTGTTTTTATTCGTGTTCCGATTGCTAATGTGCTACTGCCTACCTAAGGTACCTCAGCTGCGACAAGTATGGCATCCTTAGTGCGACATCCGAAGCTATATCGCCTCTCGAAACGTGGACAGTGATTCCGACCCCTGACACACCGGGTACATTCCAGATCCAGTCGCAAAGTGAAACTTTCTTGACTATCAAGGAGCCTACCAAGGCAAATGGCACACCCGAGGTCCGTGGAGATGCTACAGAAATAAGCTTCGATACTACATTGAGGATTCGCATGCAAGCGCGATTTAAACCTCGACTTAAGGCAACGAAGGAAGAGAAGGCGAAGGAAAGGATCAGTCGAAAAGAGCTTGAGGAAGCTGTAGGCAGGCGACTTAATGAGGATGAAGTTAGAAATCTGAAGAAGGCGAGAAGGGAGGGCGATTACTATGAGCAGCTACTGGATCTGAAGTCCAAGAACAAGCACGACAAATATTCGTGAAAGGGATGGGCAAAATTATTGGATTATGCGTTCGGCTTCCATGCTTTGATAAATCCATCTTCGCCCGCGCTAAAAACCGTCTGCGCCTCGTCGTAGAAGCAGAAACTACGGACAAGCTCTGAAGAATGGGCTCCGGGTAAGCTGACACTGTTATGTCGATCTAGATTCCACCCTTGGCCTTTTGTTAGGTGGATCAACTGGAATGCTTGTTGGCTGTACGTGTCCCAAGGTTAGCACGGATACAAGAATCATTCTGGTACGGATTCGACTTACTCGTGCGCACCGGCGCCAACCACGGCCCCAGCTCCATTCGATTTCGCAGTGACGTTGGCGATATACTGGCAACCAAGGACTTCTCGCATATCTCCAAAATTAACCGTTGCTGCTCCATTTTCGTGGTTTTCGGCAACGTCATAAAGCGCCAGTTTTTCATCGTGAGACAATGCGTATACTTCAGTATCGTTCAAGAACCCCGCATGGTGGATGGAGGCGTCGTGATTAAAGGTCTGGATTATGACTTCGTCCTCATCAGTGATTCTTGTATCACAGATATTTACAAGACCATCAGTCGATCCTGATAGAAGAATGTTGTGGTCGTTAGGGTGGAAATTAAGCTAAGTTGCATTAGTGCTGGGCACCTATCTTTCGTACGACGTAAAACAAACCTCCGTCACATCGTCGCTATGGACTTCTTTATAGTGAAGCTTTGGGGTGGGAGTTGAGCGGACGTCCCTGAGCATTTAGGTATAAGCATATTACAACAAGACATTATGATACTTATCCAGCAAACTCACCATATTAAAATGGATGCTTGGTGGTCTTGCAGTTCGGTCCCGGCCGCAACTGAGAAGCCAGCACTCGAGCATGCTAAAGACAATACGGAGACTCGATTATCTATATAAATCCTCAGCATTGCGTCCATAAAATACAAGTGCGACTAGCTATCCGCCGCGATAAACGAACCTACTAGTCTTGCTACCTCAGCCTGTCGTGCATCCTGCCTTAGATCCCACATCGATACGCTGCCATCCTCGCCCGCTGTACACACTATAGCGCTTCCTGCATCGTATGCCTTGGCACAGGTGATGTTGCCGTGTCGCGTGAGAAGACTGAGCTGGGGCCCTGCTTTTAGACCTGTGGGATTAAATAGGGATAGCTTCTGATCTGAAGAGATAGTCGCCGGGCCTGCTGTGAGGGGGATGATGTCGAGAACGTAAACTTCGTCACGAACTGGTATCCTGTACCCGTCTACGCAATTCAGAGGATACATTGCTTCTCTTCTTACCTCTACTAGGTAAGAGGTTCCGGTATTTAGTAAACCTCCTGAACTCAGGTTATTTGCTCCTGTAGTATGATTATTGTGTCGTCGAGGTCAGTTGTGTATATAATCTATTATTTGTAAACTAACATGCTCATGTCATCTAAAATATAGATATTCGCACTAATTCAGCCTTATGAAGAACCTTTATAAAATCCGATGCTGAAACTTTTAGCTAAAAAGTACATCCCCACATGTTGTGGCGCAACATTGACCAATCGGAGGCAGGTTTGATCTCTTAGCCAAGCTGACGTCGCTTCTCAACGGATGCTACAATGCTACACTAGTTGTACCTTTGTTTGTACCCATCGATCTGGACAGCTTGTAAGTTCTAAGCCCCGAATAACAACTTCCCTTTCATACGGCAACTTTCCCACAAACACAACACTTAATGCTTACCTCCTTGGAGACCATGATATTAATACAGCATTTAAAATCTTGCTCTTAGCAGAATATATACCATGAGGCGTTGGTTCGTCTCAGCGCTCCGTAAGTATCGCCTTATAAATCTAATATAGCTATAAGCTATGTGCGCTAACCCCTGCCTTGAACAGTGCTTTTGCAGGTTATCGCCTTTACATCCGCCGCCGAGCAACAGGTATTGGAGGACGATACTACGACCACAAATCTTCAACAAGCTGCCGAAACCGATGTAGTTCAAGGCGAGCAACATGCCTGGACCCCCTACCAAAGCGGTAAGCCGTCGTAACCGTGCGCTTCTAGGACAAAGCGGCGAGAATCTAACGTGGAATAGGATGGGAACTTGTCCATGAGGCGATGACCGAGTTTCGAAAGATTAAAGCCCCTTCTTTACACAGAAAAACAAAAAAGCCAACTAGCGTTTTTGGGATATTATTCCATTATTTACCAAAGATCTTACCGAGTCTACGAGTTAGCGCTCCTCCACAGGAACATGCGCAACCAGTTATCACCGGTCCCCTCCTTGAGGGCGTCAAGCTCTTACAACAATCGGCCGATCAGAATAACACAGATGCTATTTACCTACTAGCGCAGTTCAACTTCTTCGGAAATTATTCCCACCCGAGAAATTTCAAGACCGCATTCGATCATTACTACCGACTAGCTTCCTATGGGAACAGTTCCGCGCAGTATATGGTGGGATTGATGTATGCGACAGGACTGGGAGATGCGGTAGAGCGGGATCAATCGAAGGCTCTTCTATACCATACATTTGCCGCCGATGCGGGGCACACGAGGTCGGAAATGACCCTCGCGGCCCGCCATGTTAGCGGTGTCGGCGTACCTAAGAGTTGCGAAATGGCTTGCAAGTACTACAAGAGGGTGGCGGACAAGGCCATGGTTTGGTTTCGATCAGGGCCACCTGGTGGAATGGCCCTTACACCGGAAGCGCATCGATTATCTGACGACGTAGGTGGTGTATATGGCGAGGGGGCCAGCGTTGTAAGTTCTGGTATCAACGCTCTGAAGGCCGACCCCAGTTCTCACGCCTACGCCGCTATCGACGACGTCATCGAATACCTGGATTTAATGTCTCAGAAGGGCGATTTTAAGGCTTCGTTCAATCTAGGGAGACTTTATTACGAAGGACAGCGGGGCCTTGAAAGGAACGTCGATCTAGCTCGACGGTACTTTGCCGCCGTAACAACGATGTATTGGCGTACTAAAGATGGGCGTCCCGTTGACCAACCTAAGCCTCAATTAGAGAAGTATGCCAGTAAGGCTGCCGGTTACATCGGTCGGATGTGGTTACGCGGAGAGGGAGTGAGGCAGGACTTTAAGCTGGCCAAGGGATGGTTTGAGCGCGGAATTAAGCATGGCGATGCACAGTCCCAATGGGGTTTGGGTATTATGAACCTCCACGGCCTTGGGATCCCAAAGAATGTCTCCAAGGCCACGGAGCTTTTCAAGGCTTCAGCAGACCAGGACTTTAGCCTTTCTCACGTGGCCCTAGGGGCTCTCCATCTCGACCAGGGTACTCCCGACGACCTGAAAATTGCCAACTCTTACTTTGAAGCAGCTGCCAGGTGGGCTAATATCGAGGCGCAGTACTATCTAGCCGAGATGATGCATCTCGGGGTTGGGAGAGACAAAACGTGTGGCATGGCTATGGTATATTATAAGAGTGTTGCCGAGAGGGCAGAGCCCCTGGTGTCATCTTGGGCAGAAGCTAACCAGGCTTACGAAGATGGCGACCACGAGCTTGCCTTCCTCGATTATCTTATTGCTGCAGAGCAAGGATACGAAAAGGCGCAGAACAATGTCGCTTTTATGTTAGACCCGTCCCAGTCGCGATTACCCCTGCCACCATGGCTTCACCGCCAGCCGCCAAAGCCTAACCTGCTCCAGAATTCTGCCCTAGCGCTGATCTACTGGACCAGATCGGCTATACAATCCAACATTGATTCACTGGTTAAAATGGGAGATTATTATCTAGATGGTATCGGTACCGAAACAGCGTTTGACAAAGCTGCTCAATGTTATAGCGGTGCATCGGAGTACTTCCAAAGCGCGCAAGCTCTCTACAACCTTGGTTGGATGCACGAGAACGGAGTTGGTTTAACGCAGGATTTCCACCTCGCGAAGAGATACTACGACCAAGCCCTCGAAGCTAATGAAGAAGCCTACCTACCGGTGACCTTAAGCCTCCTTAAACTCCGAGCGCGCAGTGCTTGGAACACTTTTACCCATGGCCGGATCAACTCGATCCAGGACGAACCTTGTAAGTATTATTCGTTTTCTTACTTCCTGTCTCGCTATCTACATGCAGACTAACACGTATATCTGAATAGCGCCTAGGAAGGACTGGTCGCTGAGCGAGTGGATCGCCAACTTCCTCCAGGAAGATATTTACTACGAGGAGGGGTACGAGGCCTTCGACGAAGGAATGATCACGGGCAGCGATGGGGAACCCCTGAATGACGGCCTCGAGGAAATAGACGCCGTGGTTGAAAGCTTGATCATCCTTGGACTGGTCGGCGCTATAGTTATCCTCATGTACTACCGCGCGCGCAGGCAGCAGGCGCACGCGCAGGCCGAGGCCGAGGCTGCAAGACAAGGCCAGCAAGGAGGAGCTGGTATACAACAGCAGCAACAGGCACAGGGACAACAAGGAGGTGGCTTATTTGCACAGCCGGAAGCCCCAGATTTCGGACAGTGGGCCGCAGGGGCCGTAGGTCAATAGGAGAGACGGCTATAGCCCGCCTAGGCCCTTGACGATGCGTGTAGTATATGACGAATGAATGAATAGAGCGTTCAATCATGAAGGCTTGCTTAGGCTTTATATCAATGTTAGCGCAGCGGAACTGGGTAATAAACTGGTTTAAGTTTTATGACCCAGCCCTTGACTCTTGAATATGATATGTAGATGTCCGCCATTAGGATGATATTGGATTTAACATTAGGTACCTATTAAGAGACCGTCAGGTACGCTAGTGCCGTAATAGAGCTGCACAAGAGGTACCTATAGAATATGTCATACCTCTTTCCTTTTCCTAGGACCTTCCCACTGTCAAATCGCTCGAACTTCTTTCCTAATAATCATCTATGTACCTTGAATGTTGAATGGAAGGCACAAACTAAGAAGGCGCGTAGAATAGTCACTACCTAGGTACATTAAATACATAAGATTTAGATTCGTGACCTAGACTCCAAAACTTTTCCATCTGCATCAACAACCTTCTATGTAGTAAAAACCCCTTTCTCATATACACCACTTCCGTCTGCGAGTATCAAGAGAATCACTATGTCGAAGCGCAATTTGGTCCAGCCAGACGAATTTCCAGCCGATATCTCCTGGGCTGATGAACCACAGAAGCGTACCAAACATAATGCTACCGAAGACGATGTTGAAATGAAAGATGCTACTAGCGACAATGCCGAATCTAAATCTGGGGAAGATAAAGTCGCAGCCGACGGAATGGACATTGATCGTACGAATATTGCGGCCGCTTTTCCTCAAGAGATGATCGAAGAACTTAGTATTCCGGAGTTACTAACAAAATTAAGTGACGACTCCGCCTCGTCGCCTTTAAGCGACGACTTGGGTGTTGTATATATCGTTACGAATTCCACCATCAACAGACACAGAAACTTTAAAAGTCCCGAAGAGCTTCACATTGGGGAAGTGGAGTTGGAAGTTGAGGGAACATATCACACTGCCAAAGCTGCCAACTCGCGAGTCATGGAAGTATTCCACAATATCTATATGGTACATGGCTGGGACCTCAGTCGTGAGATGAAGAGAATTGAGAAGCATGAGTATCCTAAGCCTGGTGAAGTCGAATGGTGGATAGATTCCGATGGCCTCTTGTCGCTACGGGCTGCCGATGGGCAGAGCAACCAGCTTTGTCGAGTCCGCGCCACTAAAGAGCAGATTAAGATGCAATGGCGCCCTAGGGAGTGACTGTATGACCCAGCAAGATACAAGGTATTAGATGCGCAAATGAATGCTGAAATTGGTATATAGATTGGTAAGGGCTATTCTCTGTAACTGATTTAGCCAGTCCAGACCCATACCCATTCTTTCGACATATCGTACACATCCAATATATGGCTTTTAATCCAAGTCACCATGAGAATGGAAATTGAAGTAAGTGATTTGCATGCTCTCTGTAGACGTAGGTAATCTGTGTGCCTCGAGACACATCAAACTTTATTCTTCACATAACTGAATCAGGAGACGAATCACTTGGTCTCTGCCGATAGGTTAACAATCAGATGGTATGGTTAATTTCAACGCTGGTTCTGAATCATTTACATGTCATTATTCACAAACCTCATTTGAACTACACTTCATCCCCCTTTCCCGGGAAAGGCTCCCAGAGTCACTGGGAAATCCGGATAATTTGTCAGATATGGTGGAATAAATCTATATATAAACACGATATATCCCGGGTCTTCTAGTTATCCCAAACCCAAACCACTTTAGCAACAACAATTCTATCACCTTCTGGTCCCAAAACAACATCATCTTCAACTCAACAACCCCCCTTAATATCCATCTACAAGCCAAATATCAAATTCATATTCTAACCCGGGCTTTGCCGAATTCCTTCTTCATCCTCCCCTATTGCTTACTACCTACTTCCGGTATACCGTATTGCGGTACACGCACGACTACGATGTGTACACAGGAGTGGATTGGCGTCTACTGCCTGATCTGCGGAGGGTTCACCGTGCCGAGGTATAAAGGCAAGCTTGTTCGCTGCCAAATAGCGCTCAGGGGGGGTTCCTGCGGTACCTTGACACCGAAGGAGGTGAGGTCCACCGACACCGGCATGTGCAGTCGATGTAAACAGGAGAGGCAGCAACGAGGAAAATAGCATGCTAGAAGGGCTGTTGAAGGACCATGGAGCGACGCCTTGGGTAGTGGTAGATCTTGGATTTACTATGTAGACGGCGATTACATGGGAGCTTGGGTATATTTTTGCGTGCTACTCTTTTTTATAAGTTAGGAATATATTACCTATTACCTGCGACGATACCAGGAAGTCTTTTCATTGTGCGATACTTATATCTTGTTGGTGTTAATTATTTGGATTTGACATGCTCATTAAAGGGTAGATGTATAGGTACTGGAGTAGATTTTCTTGAGTACCTACCTCCTATGTTAGTTTGAACATAGGGGCACATGCAGGAACCGTTAAAAGTCTTTGTAAAGCGATACAATCAACGTAACTTACTAAAAAATGACACGAGCAAAAGAGAAGCTATCAAAGTCTTATAATCATAAATGGAATTATATTTTTATATTTTATACTGCAGGCCTAGGCATTAAGTTTAAATCAACTAACTAGCTTTGTGTTTAACTAGTATTTTCTAACTATAAACTTCACAGCATGAAGCTACTTAATAACTACCTAGGGTACGGTAGTAAATTTATACGAGGCGTAGAGCTATAAGAGCCTCCCAATAGTAGCCTATCCCTGCCCGAGACTAAGATACTCTAAAGCCACCAATGGTTTCTAAAAGTCGTGTTGCTTGATGTAACAAGCTACTGTATTCTAGATACATTACCAACTCGCAACATCTTGTTCCTTTGTCGTCGTCAATTATGTAAGGAGTCTTACGTCTGATGTCACCTCGTGACGTACAGACTTTATAAGACTGCAACGCTAAGTGTGATTTTGCGCTGCTAACAGAATATTGACCTTTATGAAGGTGCCACGTAGTTGGATATTCAATTTTCGGTTCCAATATTTAGGATAGATAGGTAGTCTTTTGTAATTAAACCCGGTCTTGGGCAATGCTACATTAACCCATCAACTCCTATCTTAGGGTCGCACTGAGCCCACCTACCACCTACCACCTATGACAGCCTGGTTGTTGGAAAGTTTTGTTTTTTTAATTCGCATTTCCCAATGAGGATTAATGTCAAAACTTTCCTAAGTTAAATTCGGTCTGTAGGGTGATCGGATTTCCACGCTAGCGAAACCTTCCGAGTTTGCATTTACCCTATTGGCTGGAGTTTAGCCGGGGTATCCAAATGCGGTTAGTCGGCACCAAACATAGGGTACGTACCCCGCAAAGATAGGAGTACGTACCCCCTAATAGCGTACCATATACAGTAAACTCACGATAGCCTCAATATTTTACTTATTGCGCTATAGATAATCGGAATCTAAAACCGAAGCCATCGGCTTTGGTTTTCAACGTATTTAATTGGAAAGTTTCGCCGGCAAAACTTTCCAATTAGCACAACAAGTTGTGCTACACGGCATTTTAGTTACTACCAAACTCTCAGCATAAAAATGTCGATCCGCGTTTTATTAAATCTTACTATAGCACAAAGAAATAACGGGGTTGGTTTATACACTTGGTGTATGAACTAATATTAACTATAGCTTTTTCAGTCTTATCTATGACTTGAGTATTAAGTACTAAGTTAGTTAATATTGGTTGGTTTATTTCTCTAGCCGAAAAGTAAAGGGAAAAATATTTCGTAATACAAGAAGAGTGTGCCTCTAGGCTTACTCTGGCTCTTGGTTCTGCAGACATGCTTTTTAGGGGGTATATGCTGCAGTTGGTCCAAAAAGTACCTAAGAATATTGTTTAGCCGCAGCATTACAGGTGATTAAAAAAAAAAGGCTATCGCATCGAAGGAGGTTAGGATGAAGTGCAAATATTGGCTCGGCATTACATCAGAGTAACAGGGCTTGCACCAACTATTATGATCAATCAGATTCATGTCAGCCTCACTTGCTTTGAGATCGGGTCAGCGGAATGTGCACACCAAATCGTTGAATGCGGCTGAACAGGTATTCCTATTCACCAAGAATTCGCGTAAAATCACTCGTGCTTGATACACATCGCCAAGCGAATATCGCGATGGACTAATACAAGTTAAACAGCGTGATTCATTTGCAGGCTTTAATGTATGCTATTCGTATTCACCAATCGATAGCTGATATCGGCGAAAGATAGGTAACTAAATCGTCAGAACCAAGATTAACCTGCGGCGTAGTGAGAAAGGTAGCTTGGCTAAATTGAAGCTATTTACAGGGGTTCAACCACGTGGCATCCCTGGCTCCCATCCTATTCCGTATCACCTTGGCGATATTCGTCATTATCATTGAACCATTAAAACTTGTTCGAGGCTGCTCCGTCAAAAATGAGAGATCTCGAATCTGAGCACTTGCATCGTGGTAGGTGCATGCTCTGCAAAAGCCCGCCGGCGGGGTGGCCTCCATCATCAATGGAACTAACATCTCGGCCTGTGTTATATCATCACATGTCTGTCCTCTCAATCCACGTCCTTGCTAACAAAGGCTATAGCATCCTCGACCGAGGCGGTTGCCTCAGCTGTTAAGCCGACCATCCTGTGCGATAGGATGAGGTCGTGTGGTGCGTGCTTTATCGTGTGGAATTTCACCTTGTTGCCTTCTATTCCTTCCATTGCCTCTGCGAATTGCTTGTTTTCGTCGTAGAAAACTTCAGCTTCTCCGGCTTGGATATATACCGGCACGCTCGTCTTGAATGGATGTGTCATGGGAGAAAAGTACGGTGCTACTTCTGGTGTCATTCCACCTTCGGGAATGTACTTGTCGTATCCCGTCTGGAGGACGGGGTAGTTGATACAGTCGGTCCGTAGTTTAGGTGAGTCTCCGTATTGACTCTTGGCATCGTTGGTTACGTGAATCCATGGTGAGTATGCCAGCACACCACCTGGTAGTGGAAGCTTCCGACTTTCTTCTAGGTATCTTAGTAACCCTACGGCAACGTTGCCTCCAGCTGAGTCTCCTAAGAAGATGATGTCTTTCGGATCGATACCGAGGTTCAGTATGTAGTTGTAGAAGGTAAGTGCGTCTTGGATCGAGGCTGGAAATCGACCGGCGGGGGAGGTGGCAAGTCGATACTGGGCGAGGAATACCCTAGCCCCTGGAACACGTTTTACTAAATCTGAGACGATATTGGACCCTTCATAAGGATCAAAGGCAAAAACAAAGGCACCTCCAGGGAAAAGAAGGAGGACTTTTGATTTGTCAATGGTTACTGGACCACCTAGACCCGCATCCCAAAGTCCCTTCAGGGGCACCGGCTTGACAGCTGCTGGGGATAAGACGCCGGAATAAAGCTCGTCCTTGCCGGGCTCGATGTAGGCAAACCGTTCCTTAGCCTTCTCTTTAGTTAAGGGTCGGAGGCTTGAAAGACCGATTACAGAGACGAGGTTAAAAAATATGCGTATAATATAAGTGGCTACACTTGTTCTTATGCTCCATTGTCGTATAGGTCGCAACGAAGGGATAGTATAATAGATTATAAGTGAGATTAATATAAATGGAAGTTTTAAGGTAAAATATATTATATAAAGAGCTTTAAGCGGTTGAGTTGAGCGTGACAATGCCATCGTGAACGTACACTATGTAGGTAGGTACCTAGGCTAGTACACTATAAAGAGACAGCGGGGCGAGTAAGAGTAGAGGTGAAGATGTCTGATGCATAGGAGCAAGAAAAGAGAGACAACTTTGTCTATTTTAAACATGTCAAGATATACGCTAAATCGAAGCCACCTACGTAGCCGGGAGGTAGGCAACTGATCAGTCACTTTCGTTCTATTCACCATGAACAGGAAATCACTTTTGTTTCGGGATTCGGCCTACACACCTAGCATTGGCACATGTAATACCATGAAGCTATCACTACTACGAAGCATAGGTAGTGTATAACTACTGTGTTGCAATGCAGATGGTTGTTGTGCATGTTAGGACTTTCCCGCATAAGTGGGCCACAGGGTGGTATCGTGTTGCAACGATGTAACTGAGGGTCGTACTGCGCATGCTTTGATTTTATTAGAATCCGCTAATTGGCGCTGGCTTGTGGTAAAGGCGGCAGTTATGCCATGTGCGTTGAAAGCAGGCATGTTGTACACCTACCTACCACTCTGCTTCTAACCATGGACGAAGCCTCTATGTTTACCCAGGTAGGCATTCGGTAATATCGTGGATTTAATCGACGAAACAGGTTTGTGTTGTAGTATGTATATATCTATCTGCTTTTTATGATATACAATACATCGTAAAATAGAACGCATACTATTGATAACTAGTAGTTACTATTACTGATAAACATAATCGATCGCCCTTTTTCCCCAGCTTCTACCCCGATCTCCTTCCTAGTGTATGTATAGTCCTCACTAGTATACATACACTACATACCTAGATAGTATCTCATAACGTTGTCCGTGAGCTCCATGCCATGGTGCCATCGGTGTAAACAAAAGGGGTAATAAGTTCGGCCCAGAGATAGCCGTTGGTCTGTGTTTCTATAAGCTTAAGTACATACATAGTAGTGGAGTTATAGACCCACGTGGAAAAGGTCTCTTAAGCCTTACATAGTAAGGTGATCAGCACGCTACGTGGCTAACCAGGTTGGTGATGCCGCGATCAGGGGGCGGAGATACGGATGAGAGATATCGAAAAAGCGAGCGATGATTGGCGGGCTCTCCCGGGGACAAGGCCCTTCACGTGGGGGCGTTTGAATGTATGCAACTACATCCCCGATGTGATAAACCTGTCACAGGACGAATATACCATGTCCTCGTCGCATGTTATTGCGACACAGCATGCATCGTAGCCCTAGATGTAGTTCTCCCCCGATCTAGCGGGGTATCCCCGAGGCATAATTCAAAGTCGTGATTATTTATTCACAGTATATATCTAACTGTCTTCATATAATGCCTGCTTATCCGAGCTCCCCGTTCCCTGCATTTGTTTTGCAGCACAGACCTATACCCTGCTTATGGCCTGAGATACCAGGAAACTCAAACAGCACGCAAGCGGCTTACGCCTCGGCGTTAATGAGAAAGAGATTACATTTGGAAATGATAGCGAGGTCTAATATGCGAGATTCAGTTTTGATAAGCGAAAATTGGCATTTTATATGACCGATCTTATTGCCCTGTGGCTAGATGTATCGGATTACGGGTACGGATTTCGATTTATGTGGGCGCTGATGCTTGCTGGCTTGTTTTTGGTAGTCTCTTCCGTACCTAAACGAAGCAATCTCCAATTATGTATACCCGAATATGCCGATCATTCACGGGGTAGAAACCTCGCAGCCTCGGTATGTATTAGACATTTCGGCACGGCTTTGCTATGCATTTACAATAATTGTCCTATTTTCCGTGAAAATGTCGTAGAAGCGTTACGCTCCACCCTGTGGCTTTTGTTTGGCTCACAAGAAACAAGCCGAGTACGAACTTACGACCAACAGCGTAATTAGCAGTGCAACCCTAGTATGAAGAACCCTAATATGCCCACTCAGGTCGGTCGGCCGACAGTCGAACATGTCGATCTCGGACCGATCGTTGGTCGGAAAATCGTTCGTTCCTGTCCCTTTGCCGGCGGCACTCCCACAAGCTACTATGTAGGGGTATGAACAGTGTACTGCTTATTTCAGACTAGAGTCCCTATTCCAGCCACTCAGATCATACGAGAAGTTGGTACGTACACGACGGGGCGGTCACCTACATATACGGGGCCTCTATTGAATTCCTGTTCATCGAAGCGGCGTCGCTAATCCCGCTTGAGATCTATAGATATGTATTACCCTGCGAGTGCACCGGTATTTCAATGGTCCAGTACGCACTTCTTGGTGGAAAGACATGAAATGAATATTAATCTTAGGTCTAACCCTTGTCTAAGTAGGTGGAAGAAAGCGACACAAACCTTTTCACAAACCTACCTATATCTTATTCTGACCCATAGAGCAGTAAGAAATCCCCCAAACCTACATCATTGAGATATAACTATCTATTAAATCCAGTCGAAGAAAGGGTTAAAATTGGCGAATTTACGTAAGATAGAGCACGGAATATTAAAAAAATTATGAAGGGGTATTTACATATGCCGGCGGCATCTTTCTATCTGACCACTTGTGCTGCTTACGTCTTATAATTGACCTATCAGCGTGCCTTGTAGACACCGCCGCACGAACCTCTACCAGCCTTTTTTCGTTGCATGATTTTTTATTTATTTATGGACCTTTGGAATAAGATCAAGTGACATGTGATCTTTCTTCTTCTTGTTGTTGTTTTTGCTTCGAATTTGCATTTGTTCAATTCGCTCGAGGCCAACGCGTCGACCAACCCGACAGATGGGTTCTATTATAACTGCAACACCGCATTCCACAACCTCTAACGGAAAAGAGAATCTGCGTACTTGTGTTGTTTTGATTGGTTTGAATTCTATCGTCGTTCTTTTGAGAATATGGGTTAGAATCAGTCAGCTTCAAACTCTCAAAGGTCACGACTGGTTGAGTATCGTGTCCCTGATTCTTTTTTGCGCCCAATGTGGTCTCATAATCGACTGTAGGCTCTTGCTCCTAGATATCTGGGTTTTTCTTTTTTACCAGGACTTAGACTAAGTATCAATTTAGTTATCGTCAGACATGGCGCGTTTGAAACCGGCCCCCCTTTGACGCATCCCGAGGTGGTCGAACTTCTGAGAGTAAGTTGTGCTCGACCAACACCAATTAGAAAACGATAAGGGACTAAATGGCGAAAAGATGACCTGGATCTGCGAGTTCCTGTTTAGCGGAATTATTACTACTGTGAAATTGAGCATCTTGTGGTTTTACTACTCAATATTCTCGGTAAACGAGACCTGCAAGCGAGCAACCTTAACCACAGCCGGTTTATGCATCCTGTGGTTCACTATCAATATATTTATCATAGCATTCCAATGCCACCCCGTCGACGCGTTCTGGACTGAGCTTGACTCGGATCTCTATTGCCTCAGTTCGACGAACTTCCTTCTGGGGTATGAAACAACAAATCTACTTCTGGATGTGGTAATACTCTGTATCCCTTTCAGCATGTTAGGAACGCTCCAGCTATCTCTGACAAGGAAAATCTCTCTCTTGGTTATTTTTATGCTAGGAGGACTGTAAGTTGCCTGAACTTCCCTGGTCAGCCTAAGCTAACAACCATAGCGTGTGTATTGCAAGCATCGTTCGCTTGACAACGATATATCCACTTCCGGACCCAACCAAGAATTGTGAGTTATCCCTTGAGTTAATACCTATATCTGTTAGACAAACTTATAATTATCAAGTTGACTTTAGTGTCTTTATACTATGGGGAGAAATACAGTCAGGCGTGGCCATCCTCTGCGCCTGCCTCCCTACACTCGGGCCGCTCCTTACTGGTGATTCCAAGGCCACAAGCGCAATTCGAAATTGGCACGGGTTATCGGCGGCGAATTCGAATAGAAACCGGGGCGTCAGCGGAAATCAATCAAGGGGTCCCCATCCGAACATGCCAGTACACGATTGGCCCGAAGTCGAAGATCCGCAAGCGTCTAGGAGTTGGATTCGTGTTGATGAGAGCATGTCCGATACACTCCCTCTAAAGCCAGTTAAACATTATAGTGACAGCTCGACGGGTCGGGACCCGGAACTGCGGTAACTTGGTAGATCCGAGTCGCTCGATTAAGTTAACGACTTGATTAGTATGTCTAACGCCAGGGTCAGAAGGAAAGCTGGTTCTTATAACTCTCCCTGAAAAAGTGCGGCGTCTAAAAGTATCCGGCTTTACTCTGCATGTTGGAAAGCGCTTGATAATATATGGGCGTAATGTTAAACAAAGTTGCGTATTAATTATATAATAAATATATCCCAAGAACGTATTCAAACCAAGGTATATTACAATAATGGAGTCTTGATCGAGGGCGGAAATTGTGCAAAGTCGAAGTGCGAAGCACAAACTTCAACAACAAACAACCCATACTCCTATACTCACTGTGGAAGACGCGCAACTACCTAGGTAGGCGGTGCAACGTTCGACGAAGCTTCATACGTATGATGTCGACTCGGAGATAAGTAATGTCCCCGACCATTAAACTGCCCAATCCGTATTTCAACTCTTTAATATGATTACTGCTGAATTTGTTTTTGAATATGAACTTGAGAGTCCATTTTCCTCCAGCCATCCTGGTATATACTACGAATTATACGGTCTTGCCTTAGTATTCAGTCATCACTTGCTTATATCATGGAAATGAACTTAGATCAAGCGAAGTCCCATCTTAACGAGAATGGTCGGGCCACTACTCCCTTTGTTACAATGAAGGGTATTGTAGTACAGGCCCTTGATTGACTTTAGAAGGTCTATGAAAACTTCCAAGTCGCGAGGCGAACCTAATCTCATCTCCTAATTGGTCCCGAACCCCAGCAACGTCCACGTCTTTAACTTGATGGTGATGGATAAGTTATTCCGTGACCTCATTTCGCATCCAGTGGCTGTTGAGATGGTTAAAACCGTCTTTGGAGAAAGTTTTCTCATATCTAACCTCTCGGCCAATGTTGCACGGCCAGGCTCACACAGCAGTAAGCAAATTCAGGGTTCCACTTTTCTTTCAAAGCCTACCCGGGAGGAGGTGGAGGGGGAATCCTCCTAGGCAGCAATCCCCTGCAATACCCCTCCATCCTCCATCGACGAAGAGTCATAACAACTATCAAGATTCTCAACATGACAACTGTTGCAAATCAAATTAAGCTTAGGGAAATAAATGCCTTAAAAGAGTAATGAGAAGCTTCAGTTAATATTTATGAAATCATCGACTTTGTTCTTTTCTAACAGCAAATAACTATTATATTCTCTTACTAGGCATTTGAATCTAAACAATGAAATTGTCATATACAATTTACTGCTTATATATAGGCGTAGCTACCGTCGCTGGTGCCTGGCTAAATTTCCCTAACTTACCATTCTACTTTCAACAACTCAGCGAATTCCTTCAAAATACAATGTCGAACTCATTGATCCCCACTTTCATCCTCGATACAAACCACGAATGGCTATCCGAAAACCGTGATTGGCTTGAGTCGTATCCTGATGTCGCCAGCGCACTATGTGATAAGTCCTCCCCGCTATGGACCAGCCCATCCCCTGGACACGAGATCCCAACCAATCTCTTCAGCCGCATCAACATCGATAATAATAAAGTTGGTGTCGACCGGCTGGGATGGGATAATGCCGTTTCGCGCCTCAACGAATTGCGCAATTGTACTGCTGCTCTCGAGGACGTTAGATACTTGGATGTATGCATTTACGTACATACCGGCCAGTTCTCTAGCCCGCTCGTTGACTCAGAAATGCCATCTGAACTACCGGGCTTGTTTGCGGAAGTTTTGGCATCCATGCCGCATTTAGAGAGATTAAATTGGGGGCTTAACGCAGAGCACACGGTAGCTTTCCGAGACGAGTTTTCAAGGCGGAATTTAACGCTTCCTAGTGTTCGACACCTAGTTCCTGGAGCACAGAGCCATTACCTTCTATCCATGTGTCCCGGCCTAGAAACTCTAGAAGCTGGTAGTTTCTTCCATCATGCGAGCTGGAATGAGGGGTATCGCTCGGGCCATGATTCGAGGTCTGATCTAGTGCGCGCCGCCTCTGCCGTGAAAGGTAGTCTCAAAGAGTTTTTGATGCTAGGTGACTGGACACCTAAGAGACTTGAAGAAGTCTTGGAGGCTATGCCTAACCTAGTAAAATTGACGATGCAGGGACCATTGGACTCTGATAGATATCGGCTCGAGGAAGCAGATACCAAACCTAAGGAGGATGGGCAACTTCTCAAGGTGAGTTTTAACATCCCGTCATCAGTAGAGACGTACTATAGACTAACCACGTTACAGAAATACCTATCCATAATCTCTAGATTTCCCAAGCTCGAGCAGCTACATCTACCCGACTCGTCAAATTTGGATCTAGGCTTTGATGGTGGACATTGGTGTGGCAACGCCTATGACGGAGAAGGTGGAAGAAGTTACGGACGCTCCGTAGTGAAGCAGCGCGTCGATACCACTGAACTGGCTGGTGACATGGTCATGAGAGCCGCCCCACACCTCAAGATTCTAAGCATTGGTGAGACTCAAGCGAACATCACCCGAAATGATAAAGGAGACTTGGAAATAGTGTGGCCCTGGACTGGAAGGAAGGAAGAATATGCATATGAGATTTTCCCCCAGTAAATCATGATGATTAAATCATGAGGTACCTAGCTATACACTTATCTACCATTGTTAATGCATTAACCTCGCATTGCCTACCATAGCTTCATAATTTAAGAAGGCGTTCAAAACTATGAAAAGAAACTCAATGAAACAATAATTTACAATATCCAACAATCCAATTTGCATGAACTAAAATCTTTTCAACTCTACCCACGCCTCGGTTATAAGCCGCCCAAGTTACTAAAACAAACAGGTACGCAACGTCATGACTCTTTTCTTACTTTCATCACGCCTTAATAACTTTATTAGACTAAGAATCTATTAGAATATAAGGCGTGATTACTAACAAGTAATTACGGCGTCGATTTAGCGACAGAAGCTTCAATGAAGAAACGTATAACTAACGCATATAAACGTTAAATGGTTTATAAATGGCCATGTTCGTAATATGGGTGGTTGTGGGCGCCGGACCGGTTTTCTCTTGAATAGGGGCCGGGCTGGGTAATACCTATAACAATATTTCTCCCTGAGTCTTTGGATAACAATCTAGACATAACATCATCACATCTTGCCAGATCCTCTCTCTCTCTCTCTCTGCTTTCCTCAGGTCAGATGTGTCCTAATCAAACATCGCATTAAATCTAATATGCATTTTTCATTCTATCCTTCTTAGCCAAATCCTTTGAGAAGCTAGGGTCTTGTCAGAGAGAACACTTAATGGAAGTCATACATAGAGTGAATTCTTAGATAGTATAATTAAATTATCAATTCCTACCTTTCTACTCTCTTACGGGGGCGCCGCGCACTCCTTATATACCTAGTCCTATAGATTTACCCTTAAATCTACCCCTAGCCCACTTATTCCCTGACAGGTCTAAATCACGGTCTCTATCATATCGAAGAATGGTATTCATGTGTCCATCTCCAAAAGGTTTTCGCATGTACTCGTCATTAACGTCACGAGGTGGAACCAAACAGCTGTAAATAGATTCCCAAGATCAGCGTAGATGTCTGTTGCTTCATGTAATCGAACTGGTTCGCACCTTTTAGGTCATTCCCCAAGTCAACAATACGAACATTACATTAGGCTGTAAATAATCTAGGTAGGTAGGTATCTATATCTAATAAATCTATAGGGAGCCGGTACGGGAGGCAATGAGCCATTTTTGGCTACATTTTCAATTGTCTAGCTGAAAATTAAATCAACCAAACTACGTGCCCGCGTGTTCTTCAAAATTCAGAGGATTCAATCCCTCAAAACGTATAACTGTTTGCTATTCCCGAGCAGTCTATCCACATTATATTTAAGCCCAAGCCGCCAGAGGTGGACTGTTGCGACAGTCTCGTTTTGGGCTGTCCCTGACACATGGACGTCAACGACGGGGTTTAACCGGGGAAGGTCAACGTATTGCTCGGCTAGGATAGTCAATGTTAGCTGATATACCTCTTGTAGTTGTTAAATCGAGGAGTAGTAAATCCCAATTTCACACCGCGTTCAAGCTCACCTCCTGATGGACCTTTGCCTATGGCCGCAAGTTTTTGACGATCCAGCGTCACAAGTTTATGTCGCTTCGGATCGAGGACAGCAACATCATTCTTGACCATTGTGTAGTAACGAGGAATCCAAGATTGAATATAATAAAGTTAGTAAATATAAATCTTGGAATATTAAGTGTATCGTGTAGCCGCCGACGTGGAAGTCAAGGTAGCGCTAAATAATTTTGATGGTTGAAATACCGGCATCATAAGACGTGTAAGATTGGAATCATTTTGTACGCTGAATAAGTGCTAGTCTTCGTGTTACCCACCTATTTTATTCTCGTCATATGAGCATTTAGAGGCCCGGGGTCACAGTGGCGTCCAAATAGCGCCACCATAGCATCGATGGACATGACTCCAATTTGTATCACTCGAAACCTCTTCGCTGACCATATTCCAGTCCAATCATCCCTTCACACGTGTGAAAAGAAAGTTACTACTTGCAGAACACTCGCCATTAGGGTTTCTACCGAATTCATGATTCTTTTAAGTGCAAAAGAAAGGAATCAGCGACGGCGGCGATAATATATACCATTGATAGGGGAACTTAGACAAACTGAAATCGTAATCTCTGCTTTTATTCAGGCTTATATTTTTATTAGTATGTATCTTCCTTTCACCATTCACGTGCTAGGTATACCTACGTCTATTATCAGTACCCAGCCGCCTCGGCTCAGCCTTGTTAGCTTGCAAAGAAGCATAGGCGCACTAAGGCGGAGACCATCGTATTACATGCCTCTTGTGCTATGCTATTCCCCTAATCCAGTCGAATCTCTCCAAAAACGCCTCAAAAGTTGGTGTGTTATACAGCCATTTTCTAGCGTCCGATCTGCCTACCGCCATTTCACGACAGTGTATTCAAGAAGGCCTAGCGAGCTTAGCGGACGTTACTTCTCCTAAATCCTACCTCCCTATGTATGTAATATGCGGCTTACCTTGAAGAAAATAAATTAGTCATAATTCTATCTATGTCCTTTGAGCCCCATCAGAGGCACCAGTATGCACTAAGCCCCTACGAGTACCTCACCGGTTAATACTGAATCTAAATCCCAGCCCAGTATTCTACAGGTATACCGACCCTAGGTACCCTCTATGGCGGGATTCCGCAGCACTTCTATTAACGCATAACGAAAATAAAAATATGAACATTGTTTACCGTAGTTATCAACGTATAAGACATAGTATAGTGGCCCGTATCTAGCGGTTAAGGTGGTCGGAAAACCTCACGTAGTACTACTAGCCTAGGGGTAATATCAGGGGCTTCGTGATTAGAAGTATCGGAGATATACCAAACAAAATCTTCGATACTCCGATGCGCCGCACAATTCTGATATAAGGCTGTAGGTATCAAAACTCTCGTTAACTATTGAAATTTTGTTATCCATTCCATGTAATTTCCCCGTCCCTTGCCGTACCATCTGGTGGCTGATGTCTATCGAGACTGGGCCAGTGGGCCATGCCCCCTCAGCCACAAACGAACCCAGCAAGCCACTACGAAGGTATCAGGATATTTCTGATGAAGTTTTGGATAGCCCATGGGCCAAGAAGACGGTCTTGACATTTGGTAAGATATTTAATTGGAAAATTCTATACAATATTTGGTCGACCCCGTATTGACCCCTCTGTTATGTCATAGATGGAGGAGGCGTGCGTGGTTACTCTAGCCTCCTGATTCTGAAGGCACTGATGTTAAAGATCAAGGAGATTGAAACCGAGGGCTCCAGCAGCAGAATTTGCTCGAGTAGAGACTACCCATGGATGGGAGCCCATGCCTCTAGTACTCTTGCCTCTAATGAAAGCATTCCTGACGACTTTTTACCTTGCCATTATTTCGACTACATAGCAGGTACATCTACAGGAGGGTAAGTGGGGTTACTATTTGGCATCTCTATGCTGATATAATTCCTCTAGTTTGTCAGCTATCATGCTCGGTAGACTCCGTATGACCGTGGACGAGGCTCTTCAGCAGTACAAGATGTTTGGAGACAACGTATTCGGAAAAGCACGACAGTGGCACGCGAGGTCTGGTCTTTGGTTTCCCAGAGCCAAGTATCCATCGAAGAAAGCTAGAAATGCATTCAAGCAGATTATTCACAATAAGATAACGGAGCACGACAGAACTCTACCGTACTATCAAGCGGAGATGGAATTATTCAAGTATCGTAAAGACCGGACCAGAACGTATGTAACCAATCTCAATCCAATTTTCTTGCAAGCTGAACCTACATCCGTCTACAAATCGCACTAAAAAATGCGTAGTATAGTATTTTCTTTCTCGGTGGATAAGAAAGAAGGCGTCGACATGGGATACCTATGGAGAACTTACAGCCATGAGTCCAGGATAAATATATCCAATGACACTTACCGGCCCATGAATCCTTCATTTGCTCACACGATACCAATATGGCAGGTTGCGCGTGCAACGTCTGCTGCCCCATCGTACTTCGAACCCATCAAGATAGGTGACAAAGAACATTTCGACGGTGGTGTCTTCGCCAATAATCCCTCCCTCCGCGTGCTTGAAGAGGTCCGAGCTTTTCATGGCTATTCCCCCAAGATATTTATTAGTATAGGCTGTGGCTTAAAGACTAAAGCAAACGAGAATCAACCAAGAAGAAATTCTCAACTCCAAAGTTTCAGTGACCAGATTGTGGACTCTGGAAGACGAAAAAGAGAAGCTTTGAAGAAGTGGCTCGAACTTCTTCACGGCGTCCGACGCTTCATGACTGACACAGAAGGCCCAAACGGCGTCCAAGGATGGAGCAACGAATGTGTTACTCTACAGATTAAGCATCGATGGAGGCTCAACGTTGAGGGAGAACTCGCTCAGGTTGCTTTAGACGAATGGGATCCGCCCAAGTCAGGCGAATCGACACTTGATAAAATTACGAAAGAAACAGACGACTATCTATCTCAACCTAGTGTTAAGGAGAACATTCTCGAAATGGCAAGGGAGCTTGTTAATATCCGGCAGGAACGGGCAGAAACTGAACGCTGGGAACGATTTGCCTTGGACGTGGCGTATCATTGTCCCGAATCTAGCTGCCAGGGACAACATTCCCGAGGGTACACAACCCGACATGAGTTTAGGGAACATGTCATGTTCTGCGGTAGACACAATGATATGACCGATACAGAACTCGAAGAATATTTGAATAAATGTCGGAAATTACCTACTCATAATAGTAAATAGGGGCTAAAATATAGAATATAGAAAATGACATTACTAATGATGACTGATTCTACTTAACTTAGGTAGACTGAGCAAAAACTTCTGATACCACAACCCGACGCTTTCGTGTGCTTGGACACAAGCCACCGCCAATAGTATTGCTACATCTGAAAAGTATCTACCGTTACACTGCCGGCGCATAGGGGTCAGCCAGAGCCAACTATATGTACTAACAACGCCACGTATAGCATCTAATAGGACTACAATATAAGACTTATATGCGCCTTCGATTTCACCACAGATTAACCATTGTACTCAACCAGGACAGGTTTTAGAGTAAAATAAACATCCTTCGAATCGAAAACCCAAGATCTGATTTGCATCAATAAGATCGTACCTATCATTCGTAATAGTTCACGTTGAAAACATGAGTAGCAGCAATCAACCTCTATATTTATAGGCATCATCCAAAGCAGCGTCGTAACATCTCATATACATCGTGACTAGATATCTGAAATTCCTAAGCCCGATCCCTTCCGACTTTGACTTAGTTGCCCAAGTAGACGGTCTCGTAGCCGATGTGGATGGTAGACCTGGAAAGGTCGACGAAGTTGGCCTGGTCCTTGGCGGCCTTGCTCTCCCACTCGGGGTCGGCGAGGAGGTTCTGGATCAAGTAGATGTCGGGCAGGTAGTACTCGATGGTGATGTCGGCGTCGCTGACCTCCCACTCAGGGCGGACCTTGTCCAGCTCAGCTCGGAACGCGGTGCTCAGCTGGGCGTCGCGGAAGTGCTATTATGTGTTTGTTAGTAAACTGAGAGTCGTGGTTGGATGGCAGGCATATGTTGGCAAGACTTACAATGGCGTACTTGACGATGCCGTGCTTCTTGATCAAGGGAAGGCCGTTGGCGACTTGGACCTCCTTGAACCATTTGACGAAGTCGGCGTCTGAGACACCAGCCTTCTTGTAGTGCTCGACGGTATACTTGATGAGTCCGGACATCTTGAAGATTGTATTTGTTGCAAGTGGTTATGAGTGATGTGTGATGAGTGTTTGAGTATTGAGTGTTAGAAGTGAATGAGGATGATGTTTCGTAAAATATCGCTACTCCGAGGCGGCAGATATCTCTATCTTTATACTCAACGACGACGTGATTGTGGTCTATATAACCTTTAGCATTATCCTTGGATTATATCGCGTTGGTTACATCGTAGGTGCTTTCGTCATCATCTTCATGCACAAGATTCGACAGTTCTTTCAAGCTTTCAGCCGATGACCGAACTCGGTCGAGATGCCTACTTCATGCAATTCCTATTTTATGTGTGTGCTTAGGTACTTACATGGAAGTTGTAAGGGGAAGGAGACCTCAAAGCTTGTAATACAAGGCGAAGTTGATAGGTTGGACCACTAAGGCTGTGAAAAGTCCTCTTTCCACATTATCTAATAGTGGTTCTATAAGACGAATACATCGATATGTGTGTGCAATGCAACTAGCGTATGCTCCTTTCCAAGTTGGAAGGATTTGAACGTATCTATGTCAGTCTACTCGTCCGAGAACATGGCACCAATAGGCATGTCAAGACGTCGTAGTAGCCTTGTCAAAGTCGGGCATAACTACCTGGTTTCTGACGTGAGACAACCTTGGAGAGCTCTTTTTTAGGTATAATACTATTAGTAAGATATACTACGTAACTTCATGCGTCCATACTCGGGGTGAGTAGGTATTACTACCTACTTCCATTACCTAGACTATAGATGGTTCCGTGGGGAGACTAATTTGAAACAAATATGTTTATTTATTTTATGTCCCTGAATAGATACTGAGAGTATCTAAAATAACGAGAATTGTTGGTAGATCGTCTACCTGAGGTTACGATGTTAACGAAATTCACATGCTTGTTGCGATTGGGGTAGGGTTTCTACCCCGTGGGGCTAAAGCAACCCCTGAACTTGGTACCTAAGTTACACAGCCCTAGGGGACGTTTAGGTACCCCACTGACCTGCAGCAGCCTGTAAGCACATCATCTTACTGCCAGGCATAGTTACATACATCCAACTACCGATGAGTTCCAAAAACGTGAATGGAACTACCTTTCTAGCTTACACGAAAATGGAGGGAATCCTTATGCATCTCGTCAATTAAGAAACTTTTACTACCGACACTTATGCATGCAATACGACGGCAGTCAAGTATTAGCTTACAACGCGCCGTAAACACACTGCCATCGTTGTCTCTATCCTAATTCTACGACGGTATTACGCAACAAGAAGGATCCCATACTCGCCCGTAACGTCAGCTTCTAACCTAGTTCGATCCAGAATTCGAGCCTTGTCATCGTAGGATCAGTGTTTATGCAGCAGCTCAGCTACGCTCATAGGACTCTCAAGTTAATACTACCTAGACGCAGGAAACAATGAATAGTAAGGAGGTTTAGATGAATTATTAAATGTACCTAAGTTAATTAAAACATCTATACAGGTTCTACATACGAGTCAACCCTTTTTAAGCAAGTACTTCATTGGCCAGGTCATCCTAAATCTTGCAATATCGTTATACCCTAGGCTTGTTAGTCTGTTTGGCTTCTCTAAACAACTACCATTATTGGATGTGAATTACGACGTGCTTAAAGATTCCCAGGTTTCCTTTGAATCTCACCGCATCGAAAACACAGGTGTTTCGAATTTATAGCATTACATAAAAGTCACAATGTAGCTCATCTAGCCCTCATCGTACACTCTATTATCGAATTATATCGGAAGCTCACTTAAGGTACTTGTGCTGTCTTCATACATTCGACGACCGCCCCCTTCGGGTGCTGCGCTTTAATTAAGGATTAGCCCTGTAATTGGGGATAGCGTACAAGGATTAGGGCGAATAAGAGGCTATTCCCACCTTCATTAAATCCTGAAAAGGAAACAATATTTTCATAATATCACGAAATATTATGAAAATGGATAGAAGTTTGAAAATACTTTTGGAATGTATGGGAAGCCCTCCCATTCGGAAGTACTTCGGATCAATCCCGAATTACAGGGCCAATCCTTAATTAAAGCGCAGCACCCGAAGGGGGCGGTCGTCGAGTATACGCAGACAGCACAAGTAGATGTCCCAATGTATTCACAATTAGTTATCATTTCGGAGAATAATAAATAGATCAGTCTCACACCGCTGTTACACGAATAAATAAAATGGAGGGTTGCAATCGAGTAGATATTACCGTTTAGAAACCTGGCTTTCCGACTTCAAGCTCAAGCCTTGCCTTGGCTATGCGGGGGACCGAGAACCTGGATGCCGCTCGCCGATCGAAAGGACGATACGGAGAGTCAGGCTATTCAGCGACGACTAGGATATCCTTGATCCTCAGATCAAACTCGTCAGCTTACGCGAAACTCATTATGCGTAAACCTCAGTCCCGATCGATTGCGGGGGATTCGGCCGAAAAACGTCGGTCGACACGGTCCAACCGTCAATGGCTCCGTGGACTGGCCTTCGACTAGTATTTTGAGAATTATTTACCTGATCTTATTGCCACGTCGAAGTCTATCGGTTGGGACTAAAACATATTTGTTGTCGATAGAATGCAGCATCTGTGAATTACGCCATATCACGATGTGTCAAACTTCATACGTATACGTATCTGATAAAATGATAAATAGTGATATTGTAATATTATTACTCCCTAATTGATTCGTCCCCCATATCACTATATCAGAATAAAACTACAGAAAAGAGTAAAATGATATCATCACACATTCGACCGGAGGTTTACTCCTCATTGTCTTACATTCTGCTCTCGATGACTCCGACAGGTAATATCGTAAACGTAACTATTCCCGAATCAGCCTTGTTTCGGCCGTCACTTGCATTTCTTCGCTCTAGCGTATCCAGAAGACATTAACGATGCCACCTCGTACTAAAGAAGAGCTCCTCTCTTACGGAGTAATGGATCCAGCCATGGTAGACGTGAGTTTCCATCCGAGACGAGCATCTCATATTCTAAGAAGGACTTGCCGACATGACAACAGGCACTAGTCCGTAGCCCGGTCCGAGACCCACTACCTTCCGATCCGTATTACGGAGATGAATCCCATTCGGCGCTACGTGCACACAGGGCCACTACTCTGCGTGAAAAGCACCACCTCCGCTATGTTCCAGGGCCAATACCGGAGCAGGTTGGCGAGGAGGACCTCAAGATACCCGTGCGCGATGGTAGCGAGATCACAGTGCGCATTTACCGGCCTATTGTGAAGCCGACTCAAGGAAGCCCATTAGTCGTGATGTATCATGAGGGCGGATGGAGCATGGGCGATTTGAGCGACGAAGAGACCAATTGTCGGCTTTTCAGTCGCGATCTAGGGGCTGTCTGCGTCAATGTCGACTATCGGTAAGTGAGTTAAGTGAGATGTTTTATTCACAATGCGGATATCTCTTCATGTAAAGGTAGAAGCTACAAAATGTCTCAAGCATGGATATAGCAAGTTAATAGAACATGCGCGATGATAGTCTAGGGCCGGAACACCTTTTCCCTACTTGGATTGATGATAGCTGGGATGCATTGAAATGGGTAGGCATTTCTTTCTATTTTTCTACTTACCTACCTCCCATCATCTATTTACAAGACAGTTCATATACTTACCAGTACCCCTGAACAGGCAGCGCAAAACGCAGCATCCCTCGGCGCAGACCCTTCCCTTGGCTTCATCATCGGCGGCGGTTCAGCCGGAGGCAACATTACGGCTGTTCTCGCGCACATCGCACGGGACGAGAAGCTTAACCCGCCCTTAACAGGACAATACCTTTGCGTACCAGCGATAATGTGTCTAACTCCTCCAGCATTAATCTCGCCAAAATATCGACCAGAGTACCTTTCGCACCCAGACGTCACGTCTAACATAGACCCGGTGCTCAAGATCAAAGTCGGCGCCGAATTCGCCGAGCACGTGGCCCAGACCCTCAAAGCATCATGGTACGATCCGCGCATGGTCCCCTTCCTATACGGGGGACTTGAGGGCGGACATCGTGGGCTGCCGCCTGCATACTTTCAGGTCTGCGGGTTGGATCCCCTGAGAGACGAGGCTCTGATTTACGAGAGGATTCTAAGAGAGGAAGCAAGCGTTAAGACACGGCTGGACTTGTACAGGGGATTTGGCCATTACTTTTGGACCAATTGGCCACAGCTGGAGAGAAGCCGCGAGTTCGTGGAAGACACCGTCAAGGGTGTGAAGTGGCTACTTGAGCAGAAACAATGAACCCGCTTCGGATATCGCTCAGGGGTTAAAGCGCCTCGAGCCGGTCTATTACATAGATAGAAATAGACAATTCACGATTACCTACCTAAATCATCTGAATATCGTTAACTTGCTACAATCTCATTTAGAAGCCCCGAATCTCAATATCACCCCGGTCTCCGCTTTCCGGCGATCCTTCGCGCCCTTGTCATCATTCACCTCCCCTAAAACTTGGAGAAAGTAACCTTAGGTCTACCCAATACGGCAATTAGCTATTGCGCATCAAGAGCTAGTGCGATGATTTGCTGCTCCTCCGCACCTTAGAGGACATCGTGCATTTAGAGCTGGGAATTTTTGGGGACAGCCATGAGGGGCAGGGGATGTGATGTAATGTCTCGTACATAAAGGCGTGAGTGACGCCAACGAAACTTTGGAGGGGATGGGAAATCTATGAATGGATGCAGAGTTTAAAAAGAAGTCATATACAAATAGATAATAAGTATTTAACTATCTTTAAAACATATGAAAACATATAAAATACCTACTTAATTTCAGCCAATTTCTTAACATAAACATACTCGGCAAGGAGAAAGAATGGCGTCCCAAAGTAAATATCCCGACCTAACAGGCTTCAAAGCTCTAAGGTGAACAAGTTACTCCTTCGACAGATGTTCTACACGTCGATAATATACATACTAAAACCCCCCAGCTTCGACTGCTACGGCACACTCATCGACTGGGAAACCGGCTTCCTAAACACCGTCCGGATGCTCACCTCGAAGCTCCCGCCCACACACCCCCTCAACACCGACCCGCCAATAGAAGCCATACGGCGCCTCAACGCCATCACCGACGTCCACGAGCACAAGCATCCCACGTTCCCGTACAACGAAATCCTAGCCGAATCCATCACCGCCTTCGCGCACGACGAGCTCAACCTCCCCGGGCTATCAGACAGCATCGCCGAGCCCTTCGGCAACTCGCCCGGGTCCTGGGCGCCGTTCCCCGACACCATCCCCGCATTGCTAAAGCTGGCAAAACACTACAAGCTCGCGATCCTGTCCAACGTCGACAACAACAACATCGCGACAACCGTAGACCAGCGGCTGGCCCCCGCGCGCTTCGACGCGGTGTACACGGCGCAGGACATCGGGTCGTACAAGCCGTCGCACCAGAACTTCGAGTACCTGTTCGGGCACCTGCGCGCGGACCTGGGCGTCGACAGGGACAGCGGCGAGCTGCTGCATGTCGCGCGCAGCTTGACGGCGGACCACGTGCCGGCGAAGGAGCTGGGGCTGCCGAGCGTGTGGATATCGAGGGGCGGGGAGCGCGAGGACGCGCAGGGGGTGGGGGGCAGCTATGCCGAGTTGAAGGATAAGGTGGCGTTTGGATGGCGGTTTGATACTTTGGGTGATTTCGCGGATGAGGTCGAGAGGCAGTTTGCTGCTAAGGAGAAGTCGTCGTCGTGATGTGGGATAGGGGTAATGAGGTAGGGTAGGAAATAAAATGATAAATGAAGATACCTAGGTAGCTATCATCTCACATAGTCAAATAAGAGATATCATCCCCCTTAATACCGTACTTATATACTCAATCACTCCTCCCACCCATCCTCATATCCCCATCTCCATCCTCACCACCCGTCTCCCCCCCTCCCTCTCCCTCTCCCTCCCTATCTCTCCCCCGACTCCTCCCCCGTCCCCGCGCATACCCATACCCGCTCCTCCTAGTCCTAGACTCCTCACTAACGTCGTTTGCCCGCCATCCCCTCCGAATCTTAATCGGCCGCAGGAACCAATCGACATGCACAGCCCCGTGCATCTCGTCCTCGCTATCTACCTCCTCCCGCATCCCCGCCCCCATCGCCGTAGCTTCGTCTCCTCCGCTCCCCCCTCCTTCCGACGGCACGTACCCGTGCACCAGCTTCATGTGTCGCAGCATGTTATACCGGCGCAGGAACCCCTCCCCGTCCGCGGCGCGAGGGCAGTCCGCGAATAAACACGTAAAGTATCCCGGCGCCGCGGACGCAGACCTAGACCGCGACCGGGATTGCGAGCGGCTACGTGTGCGCCGCTGAGACGGGCCGGCTTCATCCCCGGACAGTGCGCTAGGAGCAGCCATGCTCATAGAACGGGTGCGCTGTTGTCTCTTTCCTCCTCCTTCTTCCTCCTCTTCTTCTTCTAGCAAGGGCGGTTGCGGCATTCCAGGAACATACGTAGTTACCCTGCCCAGGGGAGCTTTCCGGCCAGACGACGACGAGACGGCTGGGCCCTCGGCGAGGGTATGCAGCGTCATGCTCTGGCCGAAGAGGTCGGCGCAGCGTCTTGCTGCGCGGTCGACTGCGTCTGCTGGGAACCCGGCTAGTGCCGCAGCGCCGAGAACATCTCTCCAGTCGCGGAGGCCGATACGGGTCCTTGAATGTCCGGATCTTTGAGCATTACGGGGTTTGCCCCCGGAAGCAGATGAGGCTTGAGAGGGAGACCGGCTGTCCTTGTTCATCTTTCTCTTTCGTCGCGCTAGTCTCCCGCGGCCCGTCTCGGTGGTGGTCTCTTCCCCGTCGCCGGAGTTGCCGCTGTCTCTCGCTGGGTGTTCTGCGTTAGAGTCGGCCTCTGGATCGGAGTCGTCAGAAAATACGGGGATCGGCTTTTTCTGCAATCTTGCGATGCGGATGGCATACTTCCGGTCGGTCTCGCCCTCAAGGCGAGGATATGCTTTCTTCGGTCTACCTCGCTTCCTAGTAGATTTTCCTTCTTCCTTATTCTGAGGCGGGTCTTCTGCCGGCGGTGCTGTCACCTCCCTTACTCTTGACCGTCTGCGAGACCGATTCTTAGATAGGGATCCAGGTGGTCTTCCTTGGCGCTTTTCCCCATCAGTTCGAGTCTGTGAGCCCTGTCTAGATCGTAGCTTTCGGCTGCTAGTATGCGAAGTGTCTGACGCTTCTGAGTCCGCTGAGTCGGACTGATAATTTAGAGCCGATTCCCGTGTATTATGGAGAATAGTGAGTGTCGCGTCTAGCTTAGTGAGGATATGCCGAACGGATGGGCGTAAGAGATTGTAGGATAAATCGTCGTCTGTTGAGACTACCGGCCTTAATCTCGGTTTCTTATCCGACTTTCTAAGAGGATCGATTTCAGGTTTGCGCTCGTCAACGTCCATCTTTTCATCACCACTCATGGCTTCGAGTTTAGCAGACTTAGACCTAGACCTAGACCTAGACTTCTTATATCTAGACGATGTAGAAGCCTCCGTCTCTCCATCCGAATCCTCATCGTCGATACCTTCTTCCAATTCTGGATCTACATCTACCTCTTCATCACACACATCCGGCTTAACCCAGGGCCTAGCGTTGAATTTATCTTTGGCAGTCCTTAAGATTTCGGCGCCGATGATCTCTTCTAGGGCCGTGCTCGGCATATCACGAACGGCCTTTCGTAACGTGAATATATCATCCCGACCATTCAATAGACTCCTGGCGCTGTCCTGCGGTGGTGGCACTTTATCGGCGCGCATAGGCCAAGCCGTCCATGCCCGTTGCGGTAACCAGTCGTCGGGTTGAACTGGCTGTCCGGTCGCCTCATTAATATCCTTGTTTTTTCAAGTCAGCAAGCTTTCTGTCGCTCGTTTGGTGATTAATGATTAAGTGAACACACTTTATTGGGCACCGGTCCATCTTGCGCTTTCCTATGACCGTTCTTAAGCGCAAATGCATTGTATAAATGAACTGATAGGTCCCTGTCGCGAATCTCCTTGAGCGCTGTTAACGTATCTATCTCCTCGTGGTTGAACCGCTGCCATGTGGACTTAGGACCGTGCCACCTATTTGCCCGCACATCCTCGTCCGAAAAATCATCAGAGTCGTCGCCTTGTAAATATTCATCCGACTCGTCCGCAGCTGATGTCATGCTGTTTGTGCTAGCCTTCTTAGATTAGAATTAATTAAGCTAATTAAGCTGGGGTGAGAAACAATGTCGACGTGTTAATCGACTATGAGACTATGTTAGTTATAGTTAAATATGTTGATTTTGGATAGTTTTAGTCGCCATGGCATTCACCAATTGAAAATATAAAATTTTCTAAACACCTCCTAACCTAACTACTACAACCACAAAACCTAAAAGAGGACCATGATATTATTCCTACCGAAATATTTATTTTAACGGTCATATTTAGTATAAGCATAATAATAGTCATTCCGCAAGAAACATTTGCGGTGGTATTATCAAAAACAGCTACCCGATGTACCTCTAGTTATATAAACATCTACGCCTTTTCCTTTGCTTTCTGCTTTTCCAGTTTTCTCCTCTTCTCCCTAAGCTTTTGGTCCTCGGCGCTCTTCTTATTGTTAGTATATTGCATCTGCTCAAACAGCTTTCTCTTTTTCTTGCTTAGCATTCCCTTAGCCCTCTCGAGCTCTTCGGCCTCTTCCTTGGCTTGCTTCGCGAGTCGCTTTCTCGCCTCCACCTTAGCCTTGGACTGAGGGTTTGAAGGCGTCTGTTTGATCGGTTTGCCCGTTAATTCAGCTTCGAGCTCCCGCTGGTACTGCAATTCGGCAGCTTGTTCATCGTCTTCTGACTCATTCGCTGCTTTCTCCTCGTCTGAGAACCCACCGAAAGAATCCTTATCACCATCCTCATCCTCATCATCATCTGATTGAGCAATATCCATGCTGTCAGCCGCGCTTTGTATTTTCTTAACCGCAAGACTGCCGTCACCCTCATCAGCATCTACATCCTCATCTTCATCTATCTCTTCCTCGCTATCCTCCAATGCCTCGCCTTCGGTCTGTTGCTCTTCTAGCGGTATTGTCGGATCATAGGCTCCTTGAGTATTCTGTACAAATGGACTCAAATGAGGTGGCAATTGAGCCCCAGGAGCGTAGAGGTCAGGTCGTTTCAACTCCCCGTCGTTGATACTATCCCAAACCCATTGTGGTTGGACGTAAATTCGACCAGGCATCCTTTGGTTTGATGCAAGCTTCTGTGCTGTTTGGTTATCCTCAACATCGCCATCCTCTTCTGTAGCAGCTTGTATGACTGGACGGTCGACTATTTGATGTGTGATAGATGGGTCCCGTTCGTTGGTTGTGTATGCGCCCTCGCCTAGGACGGCGTCCCAGCCAATACGCTTACAACCAAACGCACGGAGTATAAATTCGAGCGACTGTCTTGGCGTTTCTCGAGATAAGTAGAACGTGCAGTTCGCAAAAAGCGACTCGGGTTCACTTCCCGAGTAGCTTGGCTGGGGTAGAATATCACCTCCGGGTGCGGCTGGCTCGAACTTGTCAATCGCGTTTGCCATAGCCTCATCTTTATCTGCGTCGATCTCAACCCGATCCCCATCGACATCTACTTCGCGCATTTCTTTAATAAGCTTGTTCACTTCGGCTTGAGTCTTGGGGTCTGGTCCCGCTTCCGCGTCACCGTTCGTCAGCTGCGCCGGGGTTTCGTTTGATACGGCTGTCGCAAGATTGCCTTCAAGCTGGAAAGCACCAAGTTCACCAGCTCCGTCGTCTTTAGTCTGGTCAAACTTGGGCGGGTATTTCAAGCCAACCGAAGTGTATAGCCGGAAGTTAACAAACCCTAAGAGGGTCATGTAGAATTCGACAAAAGTGCCCATGATCCTGAAATCGACATCCCCTACAACTCTCTGGTTGAACTTGTACGGTACAAGCCATAGGACATCCTCGCCTTGGATATTTGCCTGATAGTAAATACCCTTGATTGATAAGAAAGACTTGCGCAAGCTCTGCGATACGATCAAGTAATGTTCGAATTCAAGGCAAAGTCGTTCACAGCGCGCAATCATCTTGGCCGGAACTGTGGATGTAGATGGGAGGTTCGCAAAAAGGAATAGCATAGAGAGACAGTCGTCAAGGTCGCGTACCGCATCAACGAAAGTCGGGTATCGTTCTCGAATGACATGGTCGAGAGTATATCGTGGTTTGCCCGTCTTCTCAGGCCTTGAAGCATTGCGCTCGAGTCGGCTTGCGTCGCTAACATCGCCACGGCCAAGCGCCCTTGAGATCTTCTTCTCGAGAACTTTCTGCTCTCTAAACTTCTGTAGTAAAGGTTCGTGCAAAAGGTATTGGATGTCCTTGGTATAGTAGAAGGTAGTGGAGGCCGTCGAACTTTTAGAAACCTTCTTCCTGTTTCTTGGTTCTCGGGGGAAGATTCTGAAGTCCAGGTTAGCAGATAGTCGACTATGCAAATCATTATTGCTCAATGGGCAATGGGCGCAAGAGTTGCCTTACCCTTTCCAAATACATAGCTTTCGAAAATCCGGAAGACTGATCTGGAGCTTCTTCACAGCTTGTGTTCTCGTGATATAGTTCTTAGCATTTCCTGCCTCGCCCTTCTTCTTTATCCTTCCCATTTTGGCGAATTGTATTCAATTAGTGGTCTTGATTTATGTCTCTTTTTTCTTCCTTTTTTTTAAAAAAAAAAGTGATTGACCAGTCGACCAGCCAGGCATATATCGACTAAGTACGGGCGAATTGGATTAAAAAAAAGTTCGGCGGGGCGCAACTTTTTTTCTTTTGCTAGCTCTGAAGATTGGGAATTGCCGCTCCTGACCGCTTCCTGGGGTCTGGGACTAATCCTAAGTTGCTCTAGTGTATCGTATCGATAAGGATAGCTGCTATCAATGCAGACCCATAAAAGCAAACAGATCCCTGTTCTTGCCCTGAAATATTACGTACAATATGTACGTCCAGCTGGAAAGAAGCCAAGAAAGACACGGGATAGGTTGAGAAGTCGTGACTCTAAATTTCGAGACTTACATACGAACAATTAAGCAGCAACATTCAACTTACATAATTCAACTTAAACTTACCCAAGTAATCTCGGATCCTCGAATCCAACTTTTGAGTCCAACTTTTGAGTCCAACTTTTGAGTCCAACTTTTGAGTCCAACTCCAAGTGCGCATCCCGTAATAACAAAAACAATTAAACCGTCGTCGACGATGGCATTGCATTATGAAACGCGATAAAATGCATTTTCAAGAGACAGCCGGTCTATATGCCGCCGCTGCTCTGCTACGACTAACACTATTCGCTTTCTTTCCTGGACTTCCAGATTTGCTGACGGCCCGCGTCGAGATCTCGACTCCCGTAACAAGCTTCAAGCGACGTAAGGCAGATCCATTCTACGTTATTTGTTATTTCTCCTCAAAGATACCGGTTCATAAGCTTACCATCTCTACAGTACAAGAGGGCCTATTCCTGTATAATCACAATGTCTCGCCCTACGACGGCGGCGTCTACCACCAAGCACCATTGCTTCTCCCGCTCTTCTCTCTCCTCCCAGACCCTTCGACGTATCCCATATTCGCATATATCCTCTACATTATAGTCGACTTGCTCAGTGCAGATGCGCTTTACAAGATCGCCGAGTCGGGCGAAGCCAGCGCATCGAAACTCTTTACCTCGGCCCGTAAGGAAAGGCGATGGAGTGGTTATATCGTTGCGGCCATGTATGTCATTATACTACAGCTATTGACTATTATACGAATCTTGACTAATATAAGCTCTATATAGCTTCCTTTTTAACCCATTCACGATCGCGACTTGCATGGGTCGGCCTACCAACGTCTTCACCACATGCGCCATACTACATGCGATTGTCAAGGCAATAGCTGGTAACCCCTTTACCTCTATGCTAGCTCTCTCTTTCGCCACTTACCTCTCCATGTATCCCATCTTACTCCTCCCTCCGTTAATCCTCTTGGCATACGACCGGCAACATGCCTCAAGAAGGACAGAGTCGCTGTTGCAATTCGCCAGCGTCAATGTGGCGGCTGTTACGTTGTGTCTCTCAGTCTTGCTCCTCGGCTCCTATCTCCTGACCGGGTCCTGGGAATTCCTTGCTTCGACCTACGGGATCCAATTGACACTGACTGACCTGACACCAAACGTTGGACTATGGTGGTACTTCTTCATCGAGATGTTCGACAGCTTCCGCGCCTTCTTCCTTGGCGTATTCTGGTTGCACTTGTCATGTTACGTAGGGGGACTCTCGATTCGCATCCGGTCACAACCACTCGCCGTGTTAACTATACTCCTCGGAATATTCGCCATCTTCAAGCCATATCCCAACATTGCCGATACAAGTTTATTTCTTGCCATGGTGCCGTTGTTCAGACACGTATTTCCCCTTCTACGATACAGTTTCTTAGCAGCCTCAACCATACTCTATTCCTCGTTCTTAGGCCCTTCCTTCTATTACCTATGGATCTATGCCGGTAGTGGAAACGCAAACTTCTTCTACGCCATTACTCTAGTTTGGAGTCTAGGTCAGAGTCTCCTAGTCAGCGACCTGACATTTGCAGTACTCCGGGATGAGTGGGAGATAGAACGGCCCGAGATGGTTGGGAAAGAAATCCGACAGGTTTAGTAGCCTTGTTGATGTCGCTAGTCTAATATCGGCGTAGTGTAATTGCTAGAAAGATCCTCAGTATAGACCATATTCGAGAACCATAAGGGGACTAGAGTTTTAGTATGAATATCATATGAATACAATAAATTTTCTAAAGTACTATATCGATCCACCTTAACCATACCAATTGCTAGATTTCGTTTCTACTAACACTAGATGGATATGCCCTTTAGCCCTGGTGTTATACATTGTACATTGTTAGGAAGAAATTCTATATCAGTTTAACCAGGTAACAACCCCCCTTTCGAGTCTCATTTACTTTGGGAATCATACCCAAGGTACTTAACGTCCATAGTCAGGTAAGTAGGTACCCAATAGGTAGATCTAGAAGCCTGGATAGATTTCAGACCGAATAGTAGCCAATAGGCAATGAAGTGAAAGGGGGCCATCACCAAAGTAACGGGCTCTTAAAACAACTAGCTTTCATATTATTCACCTTCCCCGCCACATCATTAGATGTACCTAAGAGGGCGAATACAAGAATCTAGTAATACATAGAATTAATTACGAATAATTATAATAGAACTAGCAGTCATGGTTACAAATAAGAGAGAATATGATATACTTGTGAGCAACGACTCCCATTCGAAGGCAAGTAAAACGTTTTAAGGCCAGTAATTAACTGAATCAATATTTCCACTTCATTAGTTGATAGGTCACTATAATACATACATAGGTACCTATACACTACTTTGAAATCCAGTCTGAAATTACACGCACAGTTTCTTAAGAAGTCTGTACTAAGTCGTTATTCCGTGGCACACTGGCTACCCCTTAACTACCTACATAGCATTTAAATCCACGCACTAACTAACAGCTTCGTATGATACCGGAGATCAAGCTTAGGTAGGTATATATCGGTTATTGTGGATAAGAACCAGCATATATACACACCCACACACAATAGAAAAGGGGAGTTTAGGCTTTGGCTAGTTACTACATAGTAATTTTTTAGATACAATTATAAGGCGCCATTATACCGTAGAATTCAAGTATTGCCTCCAATCAGACTAGCCAACTATGATACCACACCAAAGCTTCCAGAATATGTACATAATAACATGATTTCCCGAGTTATGCGGGCGTCAAACGAATGCGTAATCACCAACGAAAGTACAGTACTTCGCTGCCAGCCAGGGATCTTCTAGAAGCCTACTAAGGGATCCTCCTCCACATCTGACATACATATACACGAGTGCGTTTACACGTCTGTGCATTCTATATATAAAAATAGGAGTCGTGTAAGAGCGGCGCTTCGATCTAGCACTCCTACGGAACTTCTCCATCTATCTTACTAAGTTTGCAGTGCGTATAAGAAGATTAGATCTACAAGATTCGGCAAGCAGCAGAGCCTCATCCATCAAGGATTACTCGCGCATAAGAACGAAATATGGTTATAACATGGGATGTATGCTTACCTACCTAGGTACCTATGCAATTAGATTTAGCATGATATGGGTTTCGTATAGGAGCAAGCGTAATTTCTTTAAACGGGAGGGCACAGTACACCTTGACACTTAGGAACAGCTCTTAGTCGCAAATTCTCTCAACTTAGTGGTATCTAATGCTTAAACGCCGAACGGATCCAGGCCAGCCTCCAGTCATTGCACACGAGTTCACATCATGAGTGTCTCGCAATTCCGTAGTTACGCAAGCATGGTTCATTTTGACTGGTCATTGAGCTCAAAATCAGACTCAGCCACGGAATACATGTCCCTCCTTGGGGATGCGCCGGGCTCAGAGTCGACGGCGGCAGTCACATCCATGTTAGTCCTTTTGTACACTGTATCGCTTCTAGTCGGGAAGCTCTTGGGCTGTTCTCATATGGGTAACCCGTCTAATATCTCGCCTATCTCGCCAAATTGGCGTAGTCCGACTTTCTCTTCCTTTGCTGCTTCGAAACGATGCGTGCTGGCACCGAAGGGTGACAACGCGCGAAAGACTGTTATAACGCCTAGCGCGGCCACGCTCGTGACAGCTCCCCCGACGGCGATTATCAGCTGAGTAGGATCTCTCACGTCATCGCTGTCCCGGATATCGACGCTGCCTTTGTGCCACTTTCGCCAGCTGTCTCCGACGCCTGGGATGGCCTCGATTGATCCTTCAGCAAAGCGACCAATCAGATCCAATGCACCCCTCGCCTTGGGCTTCCTCCATGGCAATTCCTGATAGTTTCCATAGGAACATATATCTGTCACGAATACGACTAAGCGACTATAGGATTTTTCTAGCGCGTTTTTAAGAATGGGATGCGGCGTTTGCACACGCATTAGCTGAAGGTATCCATAGGCTAAGAAATCGATGGATGACGGCTTGTCATCCCACAGGAAGAATCTCTTGTCTTCGCGAAGCTCATCCAAGACGGAATAAAAGTCCTCTGCGAAATGCTGGAATCGGATAGCAGCCGTATGCTCAGGCTGCAAAGTCTTACGGGGACCAAGACGGTCCCGAAGTCGGAGAAATCCAGTCGACGTTGTTTCAGCTGGACCATTGGATGAGGATTCCTCCGTATCTACTTCAGCCGCGAGGTAGCCAATGCCAAGATGTTCAGCCCTTTCAATGGCAGCGGCACGGATAGCTGGAGGGACAGTCCACGTGAGCGGAAATGGTAGCAGGGATGAATAGGCAGGTCGAGTTATCTCAATCCATGCCCTAGGCGAGACATAAAGCGACATAGCAAGCAGACCAGACCCACGAGTCGCTAGAAAAGAGGCGCAGGCGAGGGAATCGGCCCTCTGCAGCGGTGTGAGGTCATCGTCAACATGTAAAATGCCATGTTTAGCAAGATACGAGACGATATCCGAGTATCCAGAAGTCCAACTACCTTTGTGATTCAAGGCAGGGAGGCGGTCTATCAATTGTTTGATCAGCTGCCAATCCTCGATGACTACCTAAGGTGAAGAGAAGTTTGAGGTGGATATCGTGAGAGATATCATGAGATTTGTTTAATTAGGGGAGGATCAAGATGGGGCCTTACAATCTGAGCTGACCGCAGCGTCATTGCTGGCGATCAGGGTCCAATCTTGGCGGGGAATGCAGCTGCGGAAGCATGCAACGGCGGCTAGACATTCGGGATCTATAGAATCAAGGCCGAATGCTGGACCCCAAATATGAAGTTCAAGGGCCATTTGGAACTTTAGGATTTAGGACGTCGATCGTATCCAAGGCTGAAACTGAAAAAGAGAGACTGAGAGAGCGGCAGAGCGGCTAGGGTTCAGCTGGGGTTGGCGGACAGAAGCCGGGAATAATCCAAGTATCCAGATATCCAATAGAAAGGGCCGAATGGTGTGATATGAGTTTTAATGTGTAGTCGTAATGATTAAGTGATAATAGGTTAGATACCTAAGTCAAATAATAATTCCACTTAGTTAGTTTGGCTTCAAAAATTACCAAAATCGCAACCGAAGATCCAATCAACGACAGCGGTTGGCACGAGAGGCAACCCAGCTGCCCAGCCCCAGACCCCGGACTTCGTATGTAGTGTATGTGCGTATGTGCACGGATAATCGGGTTGCAACCGTATCTCGAGGGACAAACCTGATCTACTAACGTGACATGAAGATTTCGTTATCTTATTAGAGACTTATTAGAGATGGAGCTGCAGTCGATCGTCCCTTGTTAATTCCTTATTAGTTGATTCTGAACCTGTGAAACGCGTGGTGTTGGGAACATTTTCGAAAATCACCCCCAGATTTGATTATCGCTCCGTTTCAGGGTTCTACTAGTGTATGTAGCTGTAGCTGCACGTGTTGATAAGCGCGAAGAATCCCTGCAATGTCATTGACGTCATTATTATAATTCGAACGGCTGAAGACTAACTGCACGCTTATCGGCCGGTCATTTCCATTTTCTCTAAGTGCCCGTAGTGGACATTAGGTTAGGTAGTATCCGACGATACATGTGACGATACATGCGCGATGTACCATACAAGCTCGAGGCTAGATGAGGCTATTCTCGGTAAAATACCCAGCGCTCTCATTAAACTTAAGAATGTTTCTAACGCCGTTGTTACTTTGAAATTTAAAAGTATCTTTTTCGCCTCCCCCTGATGATCCAGGGGGTGGCAAAAAGAAGTAGTTAGAAATAGAAGAAAAGAAGAACATAACTAAAAAAAAAAAAAAGAAGAAGAAGAAGAAAAAAAACCCCAATAATCTTAGAATTTACACTAACTAGAAACAGACGCGTACCCGGCGCGCATTACATTAGTGCCAAGGTTGAAAATATCAAGTGTAGTGCCCGTAAAGCCGATTTACCGCCAATCCACTTACACCAAGTCTCACGAAGAGCCGACGGGAAGAGATCGTCGAGTTAGCCTTGTCTTGATATTAACTTGTGCTCAACTTGGAACAGATGATAAACATATCCCAGAGATTGAAACTGTCTATCGGCTCAAGTCAATCCCGTCTGGGCTAGGCTGCTCTTGCGTGAGATATGTTGGGCATATATGTATGTATGTAGGTATGTATGTATGTACAGTACCTACCTTAATTCCCCCATCACGACGATCCGTGGGGGAGGAATGGAGAAAAGGAAAGAAAGCCAACCACGCCTGTGAGAGACATGGCATCGGACTACCGTATCACCAAGGATGTTGACCTTTTCGTAATGAAAATCACTCGCGTCGACGATTTCTTGCAGGGTTGAGTCACGCGGCCTGTTACTGTGTGTCCTAAATTGATAAACGTTTTCTTAATATTGGTTGTTCGAAGTCTTGTGTGATTTCTTGGTTGCTTTGATTGCATAACCCTAGCTAGATGTCTTGGAAACTTGGGCTATAAGAGATCATTTAAGTATGTATAAGAGAACCATGTAAGCCAGAAATGGGCGGGCTTGCGATGATTCCGCCCCACTCCGCTCACCCGCCGCCGCGCTGTGCTCCGTCTTCGTGAAGCTACATCATGTAGCTAGCCGCTGGCCAAGCTTCGATATCTGTAGTATACCTATAGAGGTTAAGGTAAGGATCACGGGAGATCACGGGATTAGTTTTCCTATATGGATCCGTACTAATTCTATGCAATACCACCTGATGCCTAGCATATACTACCGATATAGCGCTTTTGTCCCACCCGAGGAAACGCAGGGTAGTAGTTTAAGTACGTTGGCAGTATGTAAGTCTAAAGACTAACGTGCTGCTGACCGCTTTTGGTGGTTAGTATAACATGGGGTTGTGATATTTTCACGAGTCGTATATACGTTCATGGAGCGCAATTAATAACTACCCACCTAAGAATAATGTAGCCATGTGAACGGTGTAGTGGATGACGGATTAATCCTCGACATAGTCTGTAGTGCTATATACCCGTCGTGTTGGTTCACCGAATCCGCCTAGGTACCAAACATCGCAATATGCTTCCATAGTTATTCCCACGGCATCTAGCATACGGATGGTCTAACATCTAGTCCAGCCGCCGATTTGGGCTTCTAGCATCAAGCTTAGATCCCGGAGATCCAAGGAAACGGCTCAAACTCTACCTCCTACGTGATGATTAGGATCGTCAAATCATGGTGACCATTTCCGAGACAATGATGTAAGGGGTAGATGTCCGACGGGTTGCGAAAAGCCCCTCTTCTCCTCCCTAGCGGGCCGCGCGCGTGCCGTAGGCGTCTAGGCCCGAACACTTGGTTGGAAGCTTTTGCATTTCAAATCCAAGATGGTGAGTTGAGTTAGCCCTGATTCACCGACTTTGCATGGCCCTTACATCCCACCGCGATAAAAAAAAAAAAATAAAAAAAAAATGACTCGCATCGGTTAGGCAAGTCAAGTGTATACAAGCGCGACGGCCCACTTATAGAAGTATAGAATTACCCAAAATAGGAAACCAATGCATGAAGTTCATGACCGAGGTCATAATAACCGAGACCAGGGACAAAATGAGACTAGGCACTTGAGAGCAATAGAGAAAATGTTGTTTGCTTGAAAAATAACTGCCGAAGACAGCTTCATTATAATTTGACTAGTCAAAATGCATCGCAAATGTGAGTGAAAATAGTCTTGTTCATATCATTCCAATGGGCCCGATTGCTTCAGTGCAGATCTCCCCGGTATCATTCATGGTTGTTCCGTTCACCAACCCCCCTCCCCCCCAAATCCATGCCCGTATCGTGAAAAATCTGCCGTCATCCTCCCGTGAGGGTATCCAACGCACGCGAGGCCATTCTTTGCAGAAGCCACCTCGACGATGCGATCTCTATAAGTACAGTTGACAACGTAAAATATGTGAAATACCCAAACACCCCGTCCGTGGTCACTAGCATGACCCCGTATTCCCAATCAGAAATGACTGATATAACCTTCCATCCAATGCGTTACGGCCGACGAAAGGCCCGATATTATTAAAAAGTTTGTTATGCCCCATGAAAATAGTACAGACCAACCCCCGGGGGGATGTTGAGAGAATGTATAACGGAGTTGATCCCATTGAGCCCAGCTCTGGAGATGCGGAGCAGGTGTTACAAGCGGAATGCAGAATTAGGAAGATCGCAGGTGCATATTCGACGATATGGTACGTTGGCGGCTTCAATGGTGGTGGCATGGGTGATTCTGCATTCCGCCGCTCATTAAATGTCGATGCAGGGTTCGTGCATATGCCCGCGAACGAGCGATGTCGTAGCAGTCAGTGCCAGGGGTGCGGAAAGCAGGAGCGAATTTTTTGAGGCGCGCATAAAAATGCAACGCACCGCTTGCGATCACTTGCATACCCGAATACACCTTTGTAAGATGATGAAAGTCGAGAGCTGGAAAAGGGCAGAATGGAAGTGAGCGGAACCCAAAGAATTCCTCCCCGATGGCACATCATCCAATGATGATTGCCTACCTTGCTGTTCTGGTCGCCTCGATTCTATCCTTAACTGTTGCTTCTATCGAGGCTTTCTGTGTCCTCTTCGTCGATCCTATGGTTGTCGACGGCCGGCACTTATCGGCAAGTCCGGAGGACTCGAGTGCAATATTCACTAATAGCCCGCCAGCTTAGCCACTCTTCGGCAGAGGAGGCAGAGGTCGGCTGGGCGGGGGTCCCGGGCAAGGCGGGAGCTGAGAAGGTCGCTGCGAGGACATATCGAATTCGGGGGTCATGCCGGCCATTTTGATATATAGGGGGTGTTTGTTATAAGATAACTTGAATGAGCTTAAGGTAGCTGGTAGCTAGTAGCCAAGGCGCAAGCGTCAAGAGATGTAAGATGAGTTTAAATGTTGTTATTCAGATATATAGATATAGCTGCGTCGCTTATGATTCTTGTTGGTCTGTCAGATGAATTCGAGATGGGTGAGAGATCTGGGGGAGATGGGAGCAGGTCGCCTTATGTATAATTATCGTCTTCTTGCTGGATGAGCGAGATACCTAGACATTCCAAGGCTTATTGTAATAATTAACTAGTACCATAGTACAACAAGACATTACGAAGTACCTCACCGCCAGACTTCAGGTACATAGGTTAGCAAGTATCGAATCTCTTAATCTCGCAGTAAGATTACCGTACGGACCAGGTATGAGAGGTACATTTGGTCGAGCCATGTTAAGCCGTGTCGCAAAGCAAAGCTTCACGAGCGAGCGACAAAAATAATCCCACCCCAATAACCCTAGTCATCCTAGTCCCCAGTCCAGTAGGGCCACAGTGACGCAGCCCAAAATGGAGACAGGGAATAAGAAGGGCTTGGCTAGCTTGGACGGCTTGGACAGGGGGTGGCCTGTAAATACTGTAGTACATGAATACCTACATACTTCGTAGATGTAGAAGATATGCATGTTATGTATCCCACCTGTATCCCACCCATGGAAGAAAATGAAACAAGCATAAGCCCCTTGACAACCCTGTCAAGTTCAGCATGTGCTACATCTAATCCTTGTCAAGACATTTTGTCCAATTGTCCAATGTACTATACATTATGTACTATACATTCATGGCGCGCATAGTAGATTAATTGCACCTGAAATTGAGCACTACCTAAAATAGCAGGTTGCGCATTGCCAGACTGGGACAAGCCTGGTTAGTTTTATCTTTTTTTTCTTGTCTTGCATTATTTTATTTTTGAATAGTATTATTTTGTTATACACAGAGAGACATGATTTTTTTTCTTCTCTCTTGAAGCGGTCAATATCTAAGACCAGTCAAAGCGTCTTCGGGAGCATTTACATCCATATCCATACCATAGATCTAAGGACCTCGGACTAATAACTATCCACTTCATGGAAGACTCATAGAACATTTCAAGAGTTTCCGCTTGATTGTCGTGGCTCCACAAACGTCACGAACAATCTTAACAGAATTTTCGCGTGTGGGATATTACGTTGGGGACGAGATTTCGATCCAAGTTAAAGCTTTTTTTTTTTTTCTCAACCAGGGGAAGTGGATCCTCTCATTACGGGCGAGCTATGTATGTACGTATCGAACGACGGCGTTGCGGTGAATAGAGACCATGAAAAATGTATCTAAAAAAAAAAAAAAAAAAAAAAAAAAAGAAGAAAATGGCGTTTGGTCGTGTTCGCGTCAAACGAGTATGTATTA